ATATCTTCGTTCAGTTACGTATTGCTGATAAAAGTGGCCGTTAGCCAGCAATACATGCCTGTTCGTAGATGATCCATAAAGTAATTATACATTGACCCTTTCATTCATGCAAACGTAGCTGTGGTACACACAACACGACCCTCTGCATCTTTTGCTCTGTCAGGGTCCACCTACTTGACAATGAACGAAGGCCACTCTTCATATAGCATCACGCTTACAAACATAAAGGTACCTGTATCTCCAAAGCTTTTACAATGAAACGTGGGGTTTATTAGAGCAATGGGCTCGGCTTGGCCAACAGCACCTTGTGTGAAAGTTTCACGTTCAATGTCGCAACTAGCCCAAAAAATATTTTTTTGGTCGTCGTCGAAAGAGGTTGAGCCCCAGATCCAGTTTGGCTGGTAGCGACATTGCGAAATCTGGGATCGCCCACGATGAACTTCATACTTTGACACAAGATTCCTTTGACCCCGACAAGCACGTTGATCTATTAAAGAGCCCACGTTTGATTGTAAAGTTTGGAGATACAGGCATCTTTATGTTTGTAAGCGTGAAGCTATATGAGAAGTGGTCTTTGTTTCGAGCATACGTACTAAAGATACCGCAGCAAACAGAATTAGACGTCCGTGTTCCTTTTGTTCCTTAAGTTCCCTTTGTTTCATTTCCTTATGCTCCCTATGTTCCTTATGTTCCTTCTATTTTACCTCCTTATCTTTGCGTTCGCCAAATCACTCGTTCGTTAAAACTGGAAGAATGCTTGGGTGTTCTTTACGAATAAGGTGAGTTGACAAGAATGCCATGTATCATAATAAGAGGTGTATTGTGTATGAGAGTATTCCAGTTGTGGGCAAGAGTCATTAGCAATGCTATAGAAATTGAGCATGTCCCCAATTGGAATACAGAAGGTCAGGGTAGTCGAAAAACGTAATGGCAAGGAAGGAAAGAGGTGAGCTGCAAGAAGATCATTGTATCCATGCATGAAAAGGATCTTTACAACTGCCTCCAATTTGCTTCCACCAATCACCTCCTTATACCCAGCACCACATAGTGATTCAGCCGACCGAGGCTACTGATAATTTATAGTTTCAAACGCAAAACGCTGTATTTGCAACGAAGGCTCAGCTTCGTGGCTTGAACATCGATCTCCTTTGTGTATTATCTTATGAGCAAAGTGGACACAGTCTGGTATTTTATTCAATATTTGACATGATTATGTCGCTTGCGATCAATGGTCTTTTCAATGACATGATCAAGGTTTTCAGCAGTGGGACTAACTCTGTTGCGTTTGCTAATGATTATCATCGCGGATGCATCGGATTGCTTGCAATGATGGTAAAAGTGATGGGTGACATTCTTGATTTGGCTAAGGCTCGCAAGATAAATGTCCTTGATACATAATGGCATTCTGATTGTGACAAGCTCTTCCATCAGATACAGACCATCGGCCTTGAGTTCCATAAGATAGTATGTCAAATTTGGACCTAGAGCATTGAGTTAAGTATGGATATTCTTTTAAAAGAGAAGAATTCCCAAGGATTTACCAACTACATGTATGTATACATAGCAGGTCATAAGAAAAAAGAAGCTACATCAAATAAATGCGTGAGTATGTATATGGTTCAAGCAACGATTACAATAGGCTTTACCTTATGACAACTAAATCCAATATCACAATGACGACCACCACGACAATGAGAGCAGGATAACAGTGAATTACCACAAAGATCAGCGTTTACCCACAAGGTTGCAATAACTGGTATACGAATAAGGCTCGGGTACTTGCAACCAGTGTGAGCGTTCGGCTTGAAGGACGTAAAGGTCCCGACGCCCATATATCTTTCGCACTGTTTTCTTGATTCTATGATCTTGCGAATGTGTGCATACCTCCCTTACGGGAGTGGGAGGCGGCTATGATGAAACATATTGCAAGAGCTCCAGATGGATGGCTTCAAGATACCATCACTTAAGGGTATGTGTTCTTGGAACATCGTGTATAAGCATGTCGTTGTTTGGCCATGTAAGCAATCGAAGAAGGATGACAGAGCAAAGATGATGGACGGCGATAACAGTGCTTTTATTGTTCATAGTGGGCGTGCGAATTTCTGTGAGCACAAAAACAAATGATAGATTGTTGGGGATGTCATACAGTGATAAAAGGTTGCATGGCTGATAGAGTGATGGGGCGCATGCATACAAGGATTAAGCCTGCTGAAAAGCTTAGGTGTAATGTTGTCCATGCATGAGTCGGCTAAATCATGGATGGTGGCAATCTCTATCCTCAAACAATGAAATCAATCATTTGCACTCAAAAACACATTCACATTATAGAAGGCCTTATCATTGTAGGACTACTCACCATAATGGCACGCCCTCTACATTTTGAGTAATGGAAGCAGCCAAATGGTTCAAGGTATAAGTAACCCAAAACCACCCTGCATGGAAATAAAAAAGACACCAGTGACAATGTATTTTCATTTTTACTTATGAGAGATAGCATAAAAGCAAGGATTTTACATAATGAATGAGGTACAAGCAGGGATGGATGGGATGGATTTAGCTTTGCTGCTGTGTCGGAGTCAAGTGGTGCTATGTTGATTGACAGGCATCTGGAGGAGAAAAACATCACTGGCTTTTTTTTGTTTCCTTGTACTTGGTTGACTATGTCGAAAAGCATCAAAGCCCTCAGCCTTAAAGGCAAACAGAATTGGGACACGTCAATATACTGCTTCAGCAAGAACAAACGCAACAACTTCATGTGGGAAAAGGATGGTGCTGCCAAGGAAGCCCTGAAGCACTTTTTCCAGAATCAACTTACATCGACCCCTCAGTTTCGCCATTCGCCCTCGCGTGTCACCATTCAAATGTTCTACTATGCCGATCCCAACTTTGGAGACCTTTCTCAATTCAAGTTGCAGCCTCTTGAACAACTCGTCAGCAATCTCTATCCAAACAAATACGTCGACATGCGTGTGATTCGCCTCCACTATCCTTACATGAACGCCGAGATTCTCGCAAAATACTTGACTGTCAACAGCCAGAAAAAGTCTTGGTCTGCATTGACTCGACCCTTCATGAAGAACATGCCTATCGTCAAGGCTCCTCTTGCACACAACATGCCATTCGCCGTTCAATGGCAGAGCCTCTTGCCTCAAGTTGCTAACGATAAGCTCACCACCGCCATTCAAGGTGTCAAGTATCAAGTCTCCGGTCGTTTGGGTCGTCGATCAGGTTCCGGTCGTAGTCAAATCTTGCGCAAATCCATTGGTACCTTCCAGTTCACCAGCCATCGTTCTCTCGTGGATGTGGGTCGTCATACTTTCTCCAATAAGAATGGTAGCATCACTGTCAAGGTGTGGATTGCATCTGCTCTCTTTGGTGCCAATGCTCTCTCAAGACATGTCAACAAGAAAGCCGTCGAGACCGCCGCCGCTGCTGCTGCTTCCACTCCCAAGCTTTAATCACTCATTGTTGTTGTCTCAACCATCCATAGTAATAAACTAGAGTAAAAAAAGTATTCATCTATGAGGATCTTGGTTTGTATTCAAGGAGGGAAATGGATAGGGTTGGCTACTACACAATGAGGTTGGGCTATACTTTATATATTCGTGATTGGGGACAACGCAATAAGAGGATCATGAACATGGATGGGACGTTTGAGCAAGGATGGCAGTGCGATCAACAAGTGCAGGGACACAACGAATGCATTATGGCTCCCTTTCCTATAATGTTGTAATTCACCAGCTTATGCTAGGCACATAGCTTAGAATAGTACATCAACGATGAATGTAGCATACACAAGCATCTAAATCAATTCCTACATGAGAAGGCACGAGAAGTGGATAATGAAACTATCGTCGTTTGATATCAATGATGTATTGATCCATTTTGTACAAATAACATATGGAGGGGTTTCTATAAGGTTTGCTCTATAATACAATGATCGATGGCTGCAGGCTAGAGTCGTTTTAAGGTTGGCTGGATGATTTTTGTTGCTGTTCACTGTAACGAGGAGGTTCTTGACCTATTCACACTATCGTTCAATACACAGCTGAAGCACAATCGTGTGTTCGTATTACCTGGCTTGGATTGCATACACTCCAAGAAGACGCTGAATGGCTTTGACACATTCATGGGCCAAGTTGACAATCCTTCCAACAGATCTTCCAAATGGCCGTTGCATCGGTGTGGCTTTGCGCCTTGGTTAGAAGGACCTGAGCTGTGCTTGTTAAGAGGGAATGACGATTCTGACATTGGTGGTAGTGTGGGTATACAGGACAACAACCAGGAGTTGAGACAACAAAGTGGACCTCTGAATAAGGTTGACTGGCACACCTGAAATCCCCGATCGCTTTTGACAAGGCAGCTTTCTTCTAGAATTCCATCACTTTTGGTATATTGATCGTACCTGAAATGGGTTGAATCGACCTCAAGGATACTGCAAAAAACAAATACACCCGTCCTTTTGTTATATGGATGCCATTAATAGGTATGCTTATGATGCGCTAGTGGGCATTTCAAGCTTACTGACCTATGTTGTGTATTACCCACAATCCTATCCAGTGAAATTCCAAGGGTTGGCAATCCAACGGTTCACCGAGTTGGCAAGCAACGATCCAATTTAGATAATGCCCTTGTTTAACTGCTACCTTGTAATTAAACATCATTTATTCATCCAACCTATGTCAAACTATATAGTGTCAGGACGTAAATGGCGATGGGATTATGCAACTGGATAGTGCAATACATAAAGCAGGCTGTTATCAAAAGGACCATGCTGATAGTGGATAAATGACACGCTCCATGATCTCCTACATCTACTCAACGTGATAAGACAAGTACCAATAACGAGCTCATCAATCTCACTGCATCAACCGTTGTCACAGGCAAGGAAAAACAACCGTGAAGGCGTGGGAGAGCTGCCAGAGAACTATGATCACCATGCACAAATCGGGAAAATATGTATCCAAATTGGGGAAGCTGACAACATCACGTCTCGCTATGAAAAAGTATAAAAGACACCCTCTCACCAAACAATGAAGCACTGCATCATCCCCTTTTCAGTCACCTATTTAACGTTATGACATATGAACAGCTGCTAGTACTGCCACGACATACAAAAACCTTGCCTCTACATCATAGCAGCAACAACAACACGACGACATCTTTGTTATCATCGACGACTCATATGTGGTCGATCAATAGCACCCCCACGATGTACGACACTGGCACCAGCGAATACCTAATCAGGATGTTCTTTGACACATGTGGACGAGATAAAAAGCTCACAAAGGACCAACGCAATGAAATCATCAAGCGAACAGGATTAACTTCTCGGAGGATCACCTACTGGTTTTCAAATCACAAACGTCGCTTCAAGAACGAGATGAAGACCTACAGACATTTGTTGGAGCAAGGAACCATTACTACATACGACGAATTTGTAGAATTCCTTCGAGACAATCGCTTGCCAAAAATTCGTATATCATCCCAAACATGACCGTGGGCCCATGTTCAAGTCAAAGGGAGAAAAGGGAACGAGCGAGGAATTTGGATCATCATCAATAAAAAAAAGTTCACTGCTTCCAACCAAGTTGCAGTTTGCCTATTGCTTGATAGGACGTGAGCTGCTGTAGCATGGCAATACAAACATGAGCACATGAATGTACGTACGAAGAAAAAGAAAATGATAAAAGATTACATAACATCATGCATACATACGCCACAAAGGTTCCGTCATGGAAGGCCAAAGGTCAGTGGGCAATGCCTAATTGACCAATGGACCATGATGGTATACACAAACAGGTAATTACGATCATCGAAGAATGCTGTGCCAAGTCCACATCCTTGCCAACATGCGCTTAGGCGAGTGAATTGCTGTCCGCATGAAAGGGGAAAGAGGTACATGCTGCATGTATGGATAATTACAGTAATCATGATTACAGCGTGCTAATAAAGCGATCAACCCTTGAGGGAATGATGAGCAAGGCCCATAGCTACTTTATCTTCCACGTTTTCACACCCACTATGCACACATGCCTTTGAAAATGCTATGATTTATTGTACTCAATGTATTAGTATTGGCACTAAACAATGGAATGAAAAGAGGCAAGAGGATGAAAATGAGAAGGATTGACTGCAGGATGGGATTGCTTGATCATATGCACCAACGTTACAACACACATGATACGACCACTTTTGATGTACATGCAATGACCATTAATTAGCCCATGCAGTGATATGGCCTTGACTCCCCATATGAATGAATCCTAAAACATACCAGGATGATGATGAGCAATGACGATGGTGACACCAAGTGTGTATCGTGCGTGCGTGCGTCGCCGCTTATTGAAATCGCCAAGGTGCGGAAGTCACAACGTGAACTATAGTGGTTGGTAGGGAAGCTCCTTCATGTTTCAGACGTTGCTTGTTACGTGACAAACGACCTTTTCGCCATGTTCGAAAAGTCTCTCACCGACCTTATCCGAGGAATACGCGCCAACAAGAAGAATGAGCAAAAGTATATACAAGTCTGCCTGCAAGAAATTCGAAATGAAGTCAAGTCGAACGACGTGGATGTGAAAGGAGTGGCCATTGCCAAGCTGACCTATGTATGTATGCATGCATCTCTTCAAGGGCCTACCGAGTTTAACAGCCTCCATTCATTAGCTTCAAATGCTTGGCTACGACATGTCCTGGGCCTCCTTCCACGTAGTTGAAGTCATGTCAAGCCCGAAGCTCGTACATAAAAGGGCAGGCTATCTCGCAGCGTCGCAATCGTTCCAACAGGATACCGATGTCCTCATGCTCACTACCAACCTTATCAAAAAGGTACGTGCCGTGCTCATTCTTTGTAAAGGATAGCTCATTTAGTGTAACATCGATATAGGATTTGGCATCACCCTCTCCACTGGATATTGGTATTGCGATCAACGGCCTATCCCATATTGTCACACCTGATCTTGCCCGCGATTTATGCCAAGACCTCGTTTCCATGCTCAATCATTCTCGGCCCTATATACGCAAAAAGGTGGTTCTGGTTCTGTACAAGGTGTTTTTGAGATTCCCGGAAGCACTACGACTCAGCTTTCCGAGATTGAGAGAGAAATTGGAGGATCCTGATCCATGTAAGTGAAGGGCCTGGGAATGGTGTGGTATATCCAACAAGAGGAATAACGGTGATGGTAGCTGTCGTATCTGCCACCGTGAGCGTGATTTGTGAACTCGCTCGTAAGAATCCTCGAAATTACTTGTCGCTTGCACCACAACTCTTTCGATTGTTGACGACTTCATCCAACAATTGGATGCTTATCAAGATCATCAAAATGGTAAATGTCCTCTTCTTTCTCATACACATGAAGAATGGTTTATCTAATTGCTCAAAGTAGTTCGCTTCATTGACGCCATTAGAGCCACGCTTGATCAAAAAGTTACTTCCACCGCTCATATCGCTGATTCAAACGACACCAGCCATGTCCTTGCTCTATGAATGTATTCACACGGTGATCACTGGTGGTTTCCTCGAAGCGGCTGGTGACTCGGGTAACACGTTGGCAGCAACCTGTGTGAATCGCTTACGCCAGTTTTTGGAAGATCCCGATCAAAACTGTAAGTCAATTTTATGAACACCGATGAGGCATGCAATGGGATCTTTGTTAATGCAGTCGTTGTCGAATAGTGAAATATGTCGGACTTTTAGCCATGAGCCGCCTGCGATCCACTCATCCAAAATTGATTGCTGAGAACAAGGATATCATTCTCGAATGCATTGATGATCAGGATTTCAGTATTCGTTTACGTGCACTTGATCTTGTTGTTGGAATGGTAAGTGGATCTTTATTGTATGGGTTTCTTTGGGCAGTGGGATAACCTTTTCTATTTACAGGCGAGCAAGAAGACTCTTGTCGACATTGTAAAACGGCTTATTGCACATCTCGTTCCTCCTGAACAAAATGACAACGCTGTATCTATTCATGAAGCACCCACCGTGTTGGATCCCATCTATCGTACAGACATCATCAATCGCATCATCTATATTTGCAGCCAACATCAATACCGCAACATCACCAATTTTGAATGGTACATCACAGTCTTGGTTGGAATGGCGTATGTATCAGGCGTAAACGTGGGTGAAGTCCTGACAACCCAGTTGATGGATGTTGCTGTCCGAGTCAAGAGCGTACGCCCATTTGCGGTGAAACAAATGGTAACTATCATCAAAGTATAGCTGACTTGTTATCTTACACCCATCCTTTGCATAGTTCAATCTCTTATCGGATAAGCAACTTCTTCGTACAGCAAGGAAACGAGATAGCAATGTTGAAGTGCTTTCTGCAGCTGCTTGGATATGCGGTGAATATTGCAGGTAAATCAGTTACACGTGTTACTGGAGATAATACCTTACTTATGGCTAATCCAAATCAACAGCTATTTAGATAGCGTCCCAGCAACGTTGGAATGTCTTCTTACTCCATACATGCTCGACTTGCCCGTTTCCGTACAATCGATCTATGTTCACACCATCATCAAGATTTACGGCTTTTGGGTGCATGAATTGGCTGATGAGTGGAATGGTGAATTGCAACAAGAGTTTTTGAAGGTCACTGAAGTGATGAGGAGCAAAATCAGCATATTCGAAGGAAGCACGGATCTTGAAGTGAAGGAGAGGGTAGGTCAAAACCTTATAAAGAAAGGCAAGAAGGAAGGAATAACACCTCTTTAAAAGGGATACAATGCAAGAGCTATCTTTGATTTGGTGCTGAGATCTGTTCCCCAAGAGGAAATCGGCATCGAATCGCTATCATTACTTCAAGGCTTCTCAAGGCTCTTCTCATTATACGAGTTGAACCCTGTTGCTCCTAAAGCCCAAAGGAAGGTCCCCATTCCTGAAGGTCTCGACTTGGACCAATATATCAATGAGCCTCTCCCCGATTTGGTGTCAGACACAGATTCAGAAGATGCCGCTTCATCTTTTGATCATGTCGTTCCTACTACGCACACAAAGAAAAAGAAATCCAAAAAGAATGGCGTTGACTATGACGATGAGGATGTTGAAAAGGTAAAGAGGATACAGGGTGATTAATCCAATCGATGATACTGATTCTTTGGTTTTAGCGACGCGCATTACGCTTGGAAGCGATCAAGCACGACCCCTATTACATTGCATCCGACAAGCCGAAAAAGAATGAGGACAAGCTATTGGACGTTGAAGATATTGATTCGATTCCTGTTGTCAAGTTACCGATGGACGATTTTGATGAGAGCAAAAAGCATCGCAAGAAAAAGTCAAAGAAATCACGAAAGGCGCGTATGCCATTACCAGCACCACCTGTCTATGCACCAGAAGAGATGCCAGATAATGCAGTGCAAAGTGACCAAGAAGAGGATAACAACACTCGACGTAACGCCAATGACCATGCGACATCATCACCCATTCGAGAAGGCCGAAGGGACATTTTCGCTTACGATGACACAGTATTGAACTCGGTTGACCTTTCAGTCCCTGTGGGCGAAGAAGAGCAACTTCCACAAATGACAGCCTATTTGACCCCTGAAGAAGTTCGTCGACAAGAAGAAGTAAAGATGCGAACCGAAAGGAAGCAATCACGTAAACAAGCAAGTTCTCGACAACGTGTAAGTATTCTTGTTATTGAAGGTTGAATCACCCCCCACCACTCACACTTTGAGATAGACCTCCGATGATACCCAAAAGAAGAAGAAAAAGAAGAAAAAGAGCAGCAAAAAGCCTTCCAAAGCCGCAAAACAGGTTGGTTGATTCTCATCGTGATAGTATTTCCAAGATTCACTCATTTAATCTTACGTAGGAGGAAATGGATCCATCCCATACTGCTGCTGATTTGCCATCTGCTACTGAGATAATGAACCAAGAAGAAATGACCAAGACACATGTCCTCTATGAAGATGATGCTATTGTTTTGGTATGCTCAAATGCAAAGATGTCTACTTTCGTAGCTAACCAGTGATTTAGTCTTACAATGTAGTATTGGATACGGAGAAGGAGGGTGATGATCCTATGATCAGGGTGAAATTCTCGGTGTCAAACAAGAGCAAGGAATCAACCGTTTCGAATTTGTGTATATCCTCTCCTCAATCTCTCGACTTTAGGCCCGTGGATAATACAACATCAGAATCGCCATCCATTGGTGATGAACATGAGCTATCGTTTGAGGAAACACTGAACATAACGGGTCGCTTTGTGATGCTTGGTGATATGCGGCGTGATTTACATATATCCTGTGATTTGCAATACCGCGCAGAGGTACGTACAAAATGGGATGAAATAGAAGCATACGAGGGTGTACTTATAAGCATTGATTCTTTTAGGACTCCTCCATGGTAACAACGTCTGATTTACATATCCCTATCAGACCCAGCGTTTTCCTTGTTGTCAACCAGCCTGGAATTGATCCCTCCCAATTCGCAGCCTTACTGGAAAATCATGGAGAGCAATTTGATTATCGCGACACAGCACACCTCAACATCCAGAACACTAAGGATACCTCAACGGATCAAGCACCAATTGAACTCTTAGGCGACATTTCTAGGAGCATTCGATTACAGGTTGTGGAAGTGGTACCAGGAGCTGCATCCCTTTATGGCAAGAGTGTCACGGATGTCCAAGTGGCAGGCTTATTAAAGTACACGATCCCATCAGCAACGGAGGATAATACGATCAGCGTTACTATAGATCTAAAGTGTACGGATGACGGTTTCTTGGAAGCACTTATCGATGAGATATCATCCCTTGAAGTTAATTACTAGATAGCTTGCCCAATAACCCTTACTTTTGATAAAAATGCCATTTATACGAAAGGTTCTAAGGCTTTGCAGCATGATTTCTTTGTCACAATGATCACGTTGATCGTTCCCAGATTATCATAATTGAGGATGAGAGAAATCAATTATAGGGAGACCGGTTGGAGGTAATGTATATGCAAATGGATCATTATGTATGCATATGAATGTGATTTGCGTCTTGTGGTTTTACCCTTCTTTCTTATGTACATAGTTGCTTGGGACATTGAAGGCCATAGCAGACCTGAACGAGTTATATAAGCTACGTGCTTTCATAAACATGTCCTAGTTCGCATGGTGACATACAATAGGAAGTGGCGATTCTCAAACGCTTGATTTACAAAGATGATATGAGCTCAGAGTGATGACGCCAAACAACAGTAATTGTTATAGATGCTTGATTAATTTAATCATTGCATGCACAGTTATCAGCAACATCCTCCTTATGCAGCACAGGGTTTCCCAGATGGTCTCCTTGGTGATAAAAAAGTCGTGGTTGAGGAGTCTCTTTCAAGCTTGAGTATTCTTTCTTCGTGGTCAAGTGCATGATCCTTCGTGGTTCGCTTGAGTTGGTTTCATCACTGTGGAGTTTATTGTTAATTAGTATTATAGGGCGGACCCTTCTATAGCGGAAGGAGCTATCATGCACAATCCTCCTGCAGCTTTGACACTTTGAGCCCTGCTCTCTCCTCCTCGTTACACAAACAAGTCCTCTGCATATGGCCTTAGCATGATATAGGCGATCGACAATGAACAAAAACCACTTCTCATATAGCATCACGCTTACAACATAGTAAAAACATAAAGACGCCTGTATCTCTAAACTTTACAATTAAACTTGGGGTTTTTAATAGATCAACGTGCTTGTCGGGGTCAAAGGAATCTTGTGTCAAAGTATGAAGTTCATCGTGGTCAATCCCAGATTTCGCAATGTCGCCACCAGCCAAACAGGATCCAGGGGTCGACCTCTTCGACGACGACGACCAAAAAATATTTTTTGGGCTGTTTGCGACATTGAACGCGAAACTTTCACACAAGGTGCTGTTGGCCAAGCCGAGCCCATTGCTCTATTCAAAACCCCACGTTTCATTGTAAAGTTTGGAGATACAGGCAGCTTTATGTTTGTAAGCGTGATGCTATATGACAAGTGGTCTTTGTTCATTGTCAAATAGGTGGACCCTGGCAGAGCAAAAGATGCAGAGGGTCGTGTTTGTGTAACTGGGTTAAAAAGTTTGGACTTCAGGGACCATGCATGACAGGTACGCAACCCTCATTTTCAGGACATACATTGGCAGCTAATAGCCACTTTTGTGCATTCACAACTTTTGTGCATTCCATTGTAGGTGGAGATTCTCCTGCTCCAGACATTCATTTCCATGATTAAAGTAGGTTGATCCGAGCTGATTTGGTTGAGTTACGCTCACACAAGATTACATCGGTTGAGCTACATCGAGCGTGCTTTATGTCCAGAGTGATGTAAACTCTCTTTGACCACAGCTCAGTCAAATCAGCTCGGATCAACCTACTTTAATCATGGAAATGAATGTCTGGAGCAGGAGAATCGTTCCCATGCAGTGGATCTCGCAACAATGATGATTGGATAAAAGTGGCCGTTAGCTAGCAATACATGCCTGTTCCTAGATGATCCATAAAGTAATTATGCATTGACCCTTTCATTCATGCAAACGTAGCTGTGTTACACAACGCGAACCTCTGCATCTTTTGCTCTGTCAGGGTCTAGCTACTTTACATTAAACAAAGACCACCTCTTCATATAGCATCACGCTTACAAACATAAAGGTGCCTGTATCTCCGAACTTTACAATGAAACGTGGGGTTTTGAATAGAGCAATGGGCTCGGCTTGGCCAACAGCACCTTGTGTGAAAGTTTCGCGTTCAATGTCGCAAACAGCCCAAAAAATATTTTTTGGTCGTCGTCGTCGAAGAGGTCGACCCCTGGATCCTGTTTGGCTGGTGGCGACATTGCGAAATCTGGGATTGACCACGATGAACGTGAAACTTGCACACAAGGTGCTGTTGGCCAAGCCGAGCACATTGTTCTAATAAAAACCACACGTTTCATTGTAAAGTTTGGAGATACAGGCACGTTTATGTTTACCTATGCTGTAAGCGTGATGGGAGCTGCTTTTTCCTAGTGGATGGTGTCGGCTGCATTAACGGAAAGATGAAGAGCTGAGTGAAACGGCACGCGGTGGTTACACAGACACGTCCTTGACAGGTTGCTACACAGATGGATGATGATGATGATTGCCTTTTGTGAAGGTACGTAAGTAAACAGCATCCAATAATGAAGGTGTGTCAAGGTATGCATCACATTTGCATGTAGAAGAGCTGCATAAACCAATTTGTATATGTAAAAAGATACATATACATATTGAACGAGTCACTCATCCTGAAACTCAATGGAGGGATCTCTTCACTTTTTCTCTTCTCAAGCTCATCCCACTTCCCACTCCTCCTTATTGTATCACAAAAGCCATGCACTTCTTAACCGGTTCACCTTTGCTCTCAAGCTCGCTCGAGGTTTGTGGTGGTAAGTGCCTGCCAACTCCTTCATGAACATGTGGACACTGGCTGATCAACTTTTCCAAGCACCTGATCAACTTTCATCGAAAGCGTTCCTGATGTCGATGGCCCGGATAATTCTTTCCAAGATTCTCTGTCATTCAAGTATGAAAGAGAAACAATGACAAAGAAGAGTCAGACGCTAAAAAATCAGACCCCTCCAACAACGACAAAGAAGAAGGTTGAAAGCGGTACTTGGTTTACGCTTGGTGCTTATCACATCGTGCTAACTAAGACACGCGATCCAAACACAAATCTTGATATCGTTCCCTAGCATACATAATGTAGGAGAAGCTCGTTGAAATCATGAACATGCATTGCCAACCTAAAGATACATATAAATCAATGCGTTTGAAAGCATCATTTGAATGACTTTATCTTCATGGATGAAATAAAAGTTTATTATTCAATAAGCCTACGTTGCCAATACGCTTCATGGTGGTTGCTGATCAGAAGAAGCAGTTGTAAAGGATCACGTGATCGGGAAATGAATTGATAGTCCGCTTGACTTGATATGAGCTGGGAGAAGCAGCGAGTCGACGAGTGGCTCAATACTTTCTTTTCTTCTATGGTTGCAGGAACTGAGCAGCAAGCACGAGAACTCGTCTCACAGGCCCAGAAAAAGCTAAACTCCTGGACATTCTTTGGGCCGTCCAACAAATTCGAAGATGCGGCAGAATTGTACGAGAAGGCGGCCAACATGTATAAATTGTCCCAACAATGTACACGCACAGTTCAAGCATGGTGGAAAATGTGTATTCTGACCACTTTGCACAGGGTCCCAAGCCGGTGACGCATTCATTGAAGCTGCCAAGCTCTATCAAAAAGCAGGTAGTGCCAAGTTTGATGGTTCTCGGGCGTATGAAAGTGCAGCCAAATGTTACAAGCGTTTCGATCCTTCAGGTAATGTATATGCTTGCTTGGGTTGTCGGGCGGTGGGCACCAATAGGAACCAATGTTGTCTCACATGGCTCCCCCAATCATGTCAGCTGCTGTAAGAGCATTGAAAGAAGCCATTGTCCTCGATCAAGAAAGCGGTGGGTTCCGTCAAGCAGCAAGGCATTATCAAGAAGCCGGTGAATTGTATGAAAGTGAATTGAATGATCCTCGAGGCGCCTATGATGCATATGGACAAGCTGCCGAGTTATTCAGTGCCGATGAATCACCTGCGTACGTAACAAGGATCACACTTCTTACATAGCAACCAAGGCAACTCAACATGTGTATATGGATATAGAATGGCCAACAAGTGCTATCTCAAGGTGGCTCAGATTGCAGCAGATTTGGAAATGTACGAGGAAGCCATTGAAAAGTTCGAACGAGTGGCAGCTTCAGCAGTGGATGATCCTCTATTGAAATGGTCGGTCAAGGATTACTTTTTGAAAGCAGGATTATGTCATTTGTGTTCCGAGGTAGGTTCAAGTACGCTTTGTGCGAGTGAGGGATATACTCATAGGGCGCGTTAGGATATGGTGAGAGCACAACAAGCATTGAATAGCTACTGTGGAATGGACATGTCATTTGAACAAACACGAGAATATCAGCTTCTTAAGGTATGTATCGATCGCTCAGGTTATGATGGGCATAGGATTCTAATCTTTAATGTAGGGCGTATTGGGTTGCATTGATAGCGGTGATGTGGAGCAGTTTACCCAAGTTGTATATGACTATGACAAGCTCACAAGATTGGATCCATGGAAAACAGCCGTACTGTTGAAAATTAAGAAGTCTATTGAACAAGAGGATTTACGTTAATACACGAGCTATGCTATCTACCACCCAATGTACTTTTTTTGATGATCTCATTGTGTATATTTAATGGGCAAGTTGTTCATGGTTACGCCCTTAAGGGATGTATTCTGTATAGATTACTGGTGGGATCATTGGTTTCAGTGAATAAATCATCATTGATCAAAGGAATGTAAGGGTTGCTGGTGCTTTATTCTTGGTAATATGAGTTTCCATAGAAATGGTTGCTATGATACTAAGCATGCGCCTTGACCAAGAGCTGTTTATGCAAGCGGTGCATCATGTGATTGGGTTGAAAAAGAAGTAGCGAAAAAGTCAGGTACCCAGTTACCGAAAATTGACAGCTCTTCTTTTTTTCTTACAACACTCACGATCGTCCATGGCCACACCTGACGCATTCCTGCCTCCTGGATTCGACACACCGCAACAATACATTGAGGCCTTGATCTCTTTCATTGACCAATATCGTTGGCTCTACGAAGTGCATGTAGTCGACATTTTCCCTTACCAGCAATGGGAACTTTTGGATCCCTCTTGGCGAGAGGCACTTCTTGCCGACAGCGACAATGACGCATGGTTCGAAACGATAATCGCTCTACCATCGTTCGATCGTAAGGTGGTATGTATGTGGGTGTGGGGTGTGTGCGACATTCAACGTTGTATCCAAGGACAATGCATAAACGACGTAGTATCATACTTTAGAATCCTGAGTGGCCTGAATCTCTCAAAGAATTTATACATACGACTCAATCAATAGCATTACCAAGGTTCACCTCTACAAAGCGTAAGTATACTTGATTCTTATTGCTTCCCGAACATCATGCTGATGCCTGGTTGTATAGCAACAAATGACACTAAATGCGACAAAAACCTCTTGTTTGGAATGACCAACAAAAAGATCCATGAGGTAAGAAATGGATGTGGTTGTTTACATACATACAGGAGATATACTCATGGGGTGTAGCGTAGGTTGAGCTGATGAGTTCACTGATTCATCGAGTTGCCAAGGAACGTGGGATCAATCATGCTCTTGATATGGGATCTGGCCAAGGCTATCTTTCCCGTGCACTCGCCTTTCAGCATGATATGGAAGTTCTTGCAGTGGACAAATCCGAAGTTCAAACGCGTGGAGCCGAGAAATTTGATCGTCGTACGATGCGTGCTGAAAGGACCACCGAGACCAAGCTGCAACATGTCACTGAAATGATCACGCCTGAAAATATATCCGATGTATTATCTCGATGGGGTCGATGTGATGAGGACAAGCCATGGCTTATATGCGGATTACACACATGTGGTGATCTATCTCCCATGATTATGCGCCTATTTGAAGAGAGCAAACAAGTGACGTGCCTGGTCAATGTCGGATGCTGCTATCATTATCTCTCTGAAGGCTTCCCAATGAGTCGGCTTTTACGAGAACGAGAGTATGAGTTAGGCACCACAGCTCGCGTTTTAGCATGCCATTCACCTTGGCAGTGGAAGGGTCAAGTAGGCGCAAGTAAAAAGTCATTTGAACAACATTTCTTTCGAGCCTTGCTTCAGGTATGTAAATGGGAAGTGACCCTTTTGTTTATGTACAAAAGTAATTAACGCATTCATGCATTCATAGCAAATCATGGTCGACAAAGGATTGGCATCTCGATCTGATCCGCCCGCACTGAGGAAACGGATCACCAAAAAATGCGACTTTGCAACCTATGTCAAGATAGCTCTCAAGACCCTTGATATGGACCCTGACGCGATCACTCAAGAAGAAATCGATTCCTACTACAACGACTATAAGTATAAACGAGCAGCTGACAAGCAGATCATTGCATTATGGACGATCCGATCATTACTGGCACCTGTACTCGAGAGCTTAATTCTTATGGATCGTTGGTTATACCTGAAGCAGGCTGTTGGAGAAGATCGTAATGATGAGCATTCGGGAGTATGGATGTGGCCATTATTTGACCCAACTGAATCCCCAAGAAATGTAGTATTTGTAGCATCCAAATAATAAACGCTTGTATTTATAATAGAAACCATCATCTAAGTAGATACGTGTATACTTGATCATATTACTAAACGATAAAGCACAATGCAAAATCATGTGCCTGAGTTGAAATTGTTGGCTGTACAAGGCAGTTGCCATGCGATCGGACTTTGGTGCTAATAAACGTGGTGATTGCATCGTTTGGGGTGCTTGGTACACACGCATACACACACCTTGAAGAATGACCTTGTCATCTTGCTCGATACTGGTTCTCGGAGGCGTTGGCTTTGTTGGCCGTCATTTCGTTCACTACATTGTTCAAAACAGCCTTGCAAAGCATGTCTGCGTCGTTGACAAGGTGCTACCACAAACCGCCTACTTGTCTCCAGCACATCAAGCGTCGTTTGACAAGGTGGAATTCCGTCAGGGAAACTTGATCAATCCAGGTGAATGAGAGAGTCTCTAGGGTCATCTACATGTGTCACTCACCTCCTCTTTGATAGACTCGGTTGCCAAGTGCTTTACCAAGAGCGACGGTGGTGAATATGATTTCGTGTTTAACTTTGCTGCAGAGACCAAGTACTCGCAAGCACCCGAGGTACGTATAAGAAGGTGTGGGATAGCATGCAGAGGACTCATGAAAGGATGGGATAGGTGTATCAAGAGAGAATCTATCAATTGTCTGTCAATTGCGCAAAGGAAGCTGCCAAGCGTAACGTGAAAGCCTATGTCGTACTCTCATCATCCGAAATTTACGATAGTGATCAGGTATTGTCATCTTGCATGGAAGGTTTCGAGTATGGATGGATTTATTCTCGCATATGAACAGGGCGCTTCCACAGAAGATGGATCGATCAAGCCATGGACCGCCATTGCAAAGTACAAATACAAGGCCGAGCAAGAATTGAGCAAGATGGATGGGTAAGTTGTGATTTTCACGTTACTCTCTCGCTGTTACGACTCACTCAACCCCACCCAAAATAGATTGAATCTCATTATTCTACGACCCGCATTGGTGTATGGTCCCGGCGCATTATTAGGATTGAGTACTTGTTTACGAGCATGCAATCTACTGCGTGTCTAATCTCTATTTCTTCCAAGCACCACGCCTTATCATTGGACGCGTTTACCAGTACCTTAACGAGGAGATGAAGCTCTTATGGTCAAAGGACTTGAAACTCAACACTGTGCATGTGGATGATGTTGTGCGTGCAAGTTGGCATGTGGCTGTTTGGTATGCTGAGAATCACAAGGAGGGTGACAAGGTCCCAGTGTTCAATTTGGCTGATAAGCAAGATACCGGCAAGTCATCATTTTTACGTATTGCCATGACCCTGCATTCTAACTTGCTGCTACGATAGACCAGGAAACGATCAATGAGCTATTGCAATCCATTTTTGGGATCAAGACAGGATACTATGGAAGTGCCATCTCAAGCTTTGCCAAGGTAAGAATCAACTTTAATGTGCTTCATCCATGTGCTGATGCATGATACAGCTCAACCTTTCCTCGGTAACGGAAGAGGTGAATGAAAAGCATTTAGCACCTTGGGCCAAGTTGTTGAAGGAGTCCAACATCCTGACATCGCCATTATCACCCTACCTGGATGAGGAGCTTTTGTACAATAATGCCCTTTCGGTGAATGGTACCAAGATTGAACGCGACACTGGATTTACATATACCGTTCCTTACCTTACAAAGGAAAGACTTGTCGAGATTGTCGATTATTACAAGGCGCTTGACGTATGGCCTGCCGACAACAAATAAGACTATTAGGCCTTTAAAATACTTGCTCGACAAGAAGAAGATGCATGATCTTGTTTCGGATCCGAGATTCCCCCCACTACTTTCGAAGCAGTGAAATGATTAGCTTTCGAATAAAGATGATGAAGCATGCATTTGCTCCTTAGACTTTAAAGAACCTATTATGTTGATCAATTACTACTGCTGCACCTACAATACAACATGAAGGGTTCGTTGGCCACGGAATGGCAATAGGTCCCAAGTTGCTTACAGGCAGCATCAATCTCTTTAGCCCTAAGCTTGAACCATGTTACTCAAATGCATCCACGTGACTTTGGCACATCGACCGTAATACAGCAAGCCGAATGACACATTCAACTCCCATTTACGTGGTACGCTTTTTTACTTTTCATGATGTTCATGCTATAGGCATCATATGGGTACATACCTGATGCCATGTTGTATGTACACTACGAAGCATGGTTTAGGTATACATTTAAGAATCTCAAGGTATCACAGGTACCACAATTGTAGGTTTGGATCTTAAACCATGTTTGAATATGGGTGCATACTCCCTTGCTCATTGTACCTCGAAGTCAAGCAAGGCATTCTCACTTGTATCAAATGCTGATCATAGTCACATTTATTCGGTTAGGCATAGGTGAGCCAACAACTAAGTAGCCTACATCATCACATCTAAACCTTGGCGCTTCCGATATGATCTATGTGACACCATGTTCAAGGTAAGTATCATGTGACGGGTCGCTTAGACAGAAGAAGGTTCGTCTGGAACACAAAAGATAACACAGCCCACAGCGTATGTTGTGCCTCTTTTTTTCTTTTCTCTTTTTGCGCGGATCACCAGGATGCATCATGCTTTGACCTATAAGCTACTTCAACCTTGGCCATTATTTACTTTATTGCTTCTTGTTGGAGTCATTTTGCCAGGCGTTGTTGCAGCAGAGGATTTCGGTTCGATATTAACCTCTGGGATCCAGGATATTAGTGCGATTGCTGCTATCTTTGGTACGGACCTTGTGGAAAAGAAATGTAATCTTACATTGCAAGGCCTTCAGTACCCTGTATTTGCAACGATCGGCATGTTTGGAAGCCTTGGATACGCCAAATGGGCTTTGCAGACCATTTTGCCAGTACAAATGAGTATGCGATTGTTCATGCCTGAAGAGAACCAATTGAGCTTTGAATGCAACATTTGGATGCACGTATTTGGCAGCCGCCAGGATTGGTCAAGTAAAGCCGGTGATACGAAACTTCCAAAAACTTTGAAATTCTTCACGGGCCGTCTTAGTATTGATGCGTATACGAACCCCCCTGAAGCTTGGTATACCTATGCAGGCCGTCTTATGGATGCGTATGCGAATCTTGGACTTAAAGTTGTCAAGGAAACCTATGACGAACCCATCATCTCAGCCGCTGTAGCATCAAGTCTTGCTGTGATTACTTCATTTACCGGATTGATTCCATTCATTCCACAATTTTTGGAAATTGGATTAACTTGGGGTCCTTTTCTTCGATGCTCAGCGTCTGCAATCTTGGCTATCTGTAACATATGGCAACCTCTGATATTTACGATATTCTTAGTCCCTAATTCGGTTAGTGCAAAATCAGTAAGCCGTATCAGTTTGTCGATTGCTATAATGTTGGCTGGTATTCTCGTAGCTGCAGCATTTGCTTTAGTGGCAGGCTATGTTGGAAGCTTCCAAACAGTGCAATCAGGATCAGCTAATGCATCGATCGTATGGCTCGCAGTGGAACTTTGCCTTATGCTTGTGAGGCTCTTACTTTGGTGCCTTACGCCAAATTTTTTACAACTCGGCAATATCGGTATTAGATTGGAGGATCCAGCACCCTTTATACATCAGTCTCATAAACAATGGCTGAATGAGGACGAAACAAAAGTTGCTTTATTTGCGTTTGATGCTGCCATTGTAAGCATTGGAGAATTTTCGAAAGTTACTGGCCTACGTACGGAATATCCCCAAATTTTCGTTAAAGCTTCCCGGAGAGGGGAAGAGCATGAATACCTAGTTTGCACAACCCGTCCGGATGGAAAAGAGAGAGGTCTTTATGGCAGACGACTAGTACATAACACACCGTTGGATTTCCCGGAAATAATAGATTATCCTAGCATACAAGACACTGAAATAAGCATGTATCCAGCGGTGGACGACCTATTCCACGACTGTTATCTTGATCATGCTCCTCTCTTTGGTCATGCCCACAACATTCCAGCGTCAAAACGTTACCGATTGGATCTTGTCCCAAGAGTACATGATACCTTAGGTGGCCATAGACACTATTGGAGCAGACCGGCTTTCAGCCTATATAACGACCGGTATCCACCTCATCTTCTGACAAGACTGCATTTTACAAGATCATGGATCTATTTAGCCTTCAGCTGCTGGATCGAAAAGCGTGGCGAAAATCTATACGAAAAAGGTCATCATGGAAGTTCCACAAATGCAGATTCTACCAACAATGATCGATCGAGTGCTGTAACATGATGTTGATTTTCTGTTGAGCATGATGTGGGGTTGCCTCAAGACACGTGCTGGTTAATTTGCCGCCGTATGCGTGATGGCTGTATGCCACGATTATGGATAAATCATACACAAGCTCTAATTAAAAGTACCCGATGTTTATTAAAAAGAGTAAAGAGATGGCTATTGCATATTAATGAAGACATTGTATTTGGGGTAGAGCAATGCAGTAACAAGCTGATTCGATAAGGAGTCAAAAGTCGGGGAGAAGAGAGGAGGTACAAGGCTTTCTTCTTCAATGACAGCAAATCATACCACCGCCGTATCCGCCCCAGGCAAAGTGCTATTAGCTGGTGGCTATCTTGTACTTGACCCATCGTACCATGGCCTCGTCGTTGGAACCACTTCGCGATTCTACACAGTCATACAACCAGGCAAGGAGGGAACCATTCACGTCAAATCGCCACAATTCGAATCGGATGCGACTTGGACTTGGACAGCATCAGTGAACAATGGCAATCTCGACTTTGCTGCAACGTAAGACACCACCGAACGATTGTACCTTGACTTTTTACTGATACGATGGGTTGCTCAGGGATGCTGTATCGGCAAAGAACAAGTTTGTGGAAACATGCCTTCGATTCAGCTTGCAAGTGATTCAACAACGTATGGGGACAGCCGTATTGAACGACTATTTGCAACAAGGCTTTGAGATTACGATTGTAGGCGACAATGATTTCTATTCACAACGTGCACAGGTAAGTGTAGCAGCAGCAGCAGCATCAGGAACCCATTTTGTTGTCAATCCAACATGTGACACATTCTTCCACAGTTATCGAAACGTCAATTACCAAATACGGCCGAAGCACTTGCATCCCTGGAACCATTTTGCAACACACACAGCACTTTGGGATCGGTCCATAAGACAGGATTGGGCAGCTCAGCAGCCTTGACAACTTCGCTTGTTGGTGCCTTGTTTACCCATTTCGGTGCTGCTTCTCTCGCCAATGCTGATGATAAGGTGTTGATCCATAACGTGGCCCAATTTATTCATTGTTTCGCCCAAGGCAAGGTCGGCAGTGGATTTGATGTATCGGCAGCTGTATGGGGTAACCATCGATATACACGTTTCAATCCTAGCTTTTTGAGCTCTATCATGGTATGAGTGAATGAATGAATGGCATCATGACAACAGCATCAATGACTCGTTTCTTTAGAATGATAATGTCGATCCATCCGAATTGAACAAGGCCCTTGATCCTTCCATCACCAGGTATTTGAATGCATTTTGGTATAAAAAGACAACGGGATTGATTGATATGGAACACACCCATAGTTGGGACAATGTAGTGACACCATTCCAATTACCACCAAAGTTTGAATTGATGCTTGGCGATGTGGATGCAGGAAGTCATACACCTAGTTTGGTTGGCAAGGTTCTTGCATGGCGTAAATCCAAGCCTGAAGAAGGTACGTTACTTGTGATCTATCCATGGCTCAACCTATTCAAACTTTATCATTAGCCAACGCATTATGGAATGAATTGGGTGGAATGAATGCAAAGGTGGAAGAGCATCTCCGTGAACTTTCTACCATGGCATCGGCGGATTCAGCAGCATATCATGCAGCTCTTGAAAAATGCTCCAAAGCAAAGGCGAGCGAGGTAGGAAAGAGATTGGATCATTGGTTTCGATAGGGAGCGTTTTAACACGGGGTATATTCTTAGTGGGACAAGTTGGATGATGGATCGCCTATTGTTCAAAAGATGAACCAGCTCGCTACCGACTTTTTAAAGGTCCGTGCACATTTGCAAGAAATGGGCACCCTCTCGGATGTACCAATTGAGCCCAAAGAGCAAACCCGTCTTCTTGATGCATGCATGGATATTGAAGGTGTTGTGATGGCTGGTGTCCCAGGTGGTAAGTGAATCATACATACAGGAGGGAAATTGATGTATGGATACTAAGTTTGTGTTGCAGCTGGTGGATACGATGCCATTTTCTGTATAGTCATTTCTGAAGATGCCAAGCTTCGAGTGCGATCCTTATGGCAAAGCTGGAAGGAGCTTAATGTGGGACCCTTGTTGGCACAAGCAGACGATAAAGGCATGGAAGCTGTTGCTCTCGAATCGGTGGATGGCTTGGCCCGTTTATTGTAGTTTGCTCATGTATCATTGATGGCCCCTTTTACTATTCCATACACCTTATTATTGAGTATTTCGCCCTCCCCATTGTAGAAGAGTTTAATTGGATTCTACGTGTTATCTACAAACATCTTTTGGACCTGACATTGTGATCCGACACCACGTGATCGATGAAACAGCTTTATTTGCGCTTTCATGCATATAATCTAGTCACTGCAACTAAGACTCAGACACCTTTCTTCCAACGATGGGAAACCAAAGCAGCCGAGAACAGACCGACATTGAACGACTTTTATCGACATGGTCGCCCAGCCAACAAACAGCCCTAAAGACCCAATACAACCAATTGACGACGCCATCTACCAAGGATGAAGGGGGCAATGTCTCACCATTCACGCAGCATGTGCTCGATTGGATACCAGCCTATTATTCAACAGAACTCGCGACGTCGTTTGCGTTGTACTTTGAGACTCAAAGCGAGAACAAGCCAAAGCAAGGCAACATGGTATCCCTCGTTGGTTATGTAAAGTCTGCCAAGCAACTCTTATCTCACACGCCTGATGAAAATGTTCGAGCCATCTACGATGTCTATCTTCTTGCATTCAAGCAATACGTGTGTTCTCTCCAAGTATTCACTCAATGGATTGTGGATTCAGCTATTCCTATTTGGTTCCAAGACAATGGTGCGACGGATGAATTTTGGCGGGACACCTTTCAACAATCAGGTGCAACACGATTGAGCCATTACTTGATATACCGACACATCAAGCATAAAGAAGAGATTGAACGACGTAAACAAGAGGAAGCAGCATTGTGGACTGAAAGTACAACTTCTACCGATGCCAACACCAAAGAAAGTCTCAGCACACAATGGGAAAAGCAAGTGACTGGAACGACTCAGCCCGTTGATGAAGCCGCTTTTATGACTTGGATGATGGAGACACCCGACATGTATCTATTGACACAGCTATGTGCAAAGTATCTTCTTTTTGGCACTATGGATCACCAAGGAAACGTGCATGAACAACGCATTGCAGGAGAAAAAGCACCCGCCATGGAGCAACCTTCAGGCGCTGCTGCCTTGTATCCCAAAGGCTGCTTCTCACGACTTGTTACAGTGTACGATTATTTCATGTTGGCACGTCAATTACCACCCGATGCATTATCATGGAGCGACTATGAACGATCGCAACGACGTGTGACCCAAGATCTGCAACATCAACTTTTGTTTTCTTCAAAACGGGATGGCAACAGCTGGCAAATCTTTAGCAGCCGTATCGTACATCAAGGTGCTACACTGATCATTATCAAGTCCAAGGAAGGTGCCGTGTTTGGAGGATACGCTGATGAAGCATGGGAACCAGTAACCGATTGGTATGGGAATTCCTCAAATTATCTCTTCCGGATTGGCAATGATTACAATGATATCCGTTTACCAATGAATGTATGGAATGGAGGACAAGGATCCAATGATCATTTTCAATACCTGTGCTGGGGAAAAAAGACCCTACCCAATGGTATACCAAGGGGGTTGTTGAGCTCTTGAAATCAATTGTATTCATGGGTTACATACATAGGTCTCGCAATGGGTGGACAACTTGGTTACGAAGGTCTTTGGATTGATGAAGATTTTATCCATGGTCGGTCAAGAGCAGGCCCAGTATGCACAACCTATCAGAGCCCCCAGCTTTCCTATAACGATGATTTCACAATTGAAGAAGTAGAAGGTGATTCTATGGCACTCAAACGATTTCTTTCACCTATATTTATTCACATGCAAACATTGTTTAGTGATCCTGGTACGACCCTCGATTCGCGACGACGACGACATGATGGAGCCAAAAGGCGGTGTATTTTCTCGTGATCAAAATATGGAGTTCATGGAAATGGCAGGAAAGAAAATGTATTCCAAAGATCTCCCCGAGCCAGAGCGTCGAGAGGAGGAGGATGAAGATAAATAGCTGTAATTAGTGCATGTTGCTGCAGAGTGAATAAATGTAACGTATGATTGTCAAGGATACAGTATTCAAGTGTTACGAGGATAACGCCTTATCCACAAAGTGTATCATTGCTCGTCGTTGTTACGCTTTTGCATCCGCACATGATTGAGGTCAATGAAAATGATATAATCTACAAAGGTATATGGATGTGCGATGACTACTTGTGTTCCATGAGTCAAAAGAAGTGTGTGCTTGGCAGTTCTATGACTACTATTATGCATGATTTGAGCGATACTGACAAGGTCAGCTTCAGATGTTCTCTTTTGTTTGGCTTGCTATTATATTACATATGGATGAAAGGTATCAAGCTGCACGTATCTTGATTATTTATTACCTCCACAATCGCAAAAGGATAGTATGATTACTAAAGGTAGTATTTATTAGCAATGAGCGATCTTGTTTCATTACATGCAAGCCGCTGATGTAATCAATCTAATAGCTTCGAAGCTACCTGGAACCAAACAAATTCTGCACCACCAATTTATTTATCTAAATGCGAATGACTTCGAAATAAATAAAAAATTTGGTTTCTACCATATCAACGACAAGTTCACAATCGATACATGAGCAATCAATCGTGATGTACAATAATCCCTGATACACGTCTGCCATATTGCATGCTTCTGATAGTGTGCGTGATCGAGCTTCATGGGAGATCTTAAAATGTATAGTTTCTTGACAATGCTTGGTCGTTGTTTCTGGGCATGGCTTGTATTCCTCGCCGTCGAAATTAAAGCGAAAACGCTGAAAGAGGTCCTTAACTGCTAGCCAAAAAAGTTCTTCTGCAAATCGTTGGAAACAGGAGAGAAAGCGATCCCACAAATCTTCTAAATCATTCAATCGTGGGATATCCCAACCTAAGATGCCGAGTGCACCATACACATAATCTTCGGCAAAATAACAGGATCGTTCAGATCGGGCGAATAGATCTAATACATAGCTGAGCGATTCGAATCGGTCATTGTCTAGGCCTTCCTCACACCATTGAAACTGCTGGACATTATCTCTCAATACGGAAAGATGATCTGCGAGATCAACAACGCTCTGGCTCCCGATGTTGTATTCACCTCGCTTTAGGTCGGATCTGAATAAGTACAGTCGGAATATCAGGCTTTCGGCCGAGATGTAGCAAGGCATATCGCATGTCTCTGAGAGTAATGAAACTGAATGTGGAAGGGCTAGTTCTTGCATAGTCCATACACGTGAAAACCAACGGCATTCCCAAATATCCATAGCATGCTTGCATCCTTCCATGAGGAATGATACCGTATCGGATGAAGGTGATGGCTCGCACTCCATATATTCAATGTCTAAATCATCAAATTCTTCGCTTTGGTCGGGAATCTCAACATGAGGGAGTACCACTGCGAAGTATTCAATTGCTTTGGATGGACAATCAATCATAGCAAAACACTTTTCGCAGCAACCATACACACCTCGCATGATTACGGGTGGCGTATCGGTCCTGCAGCATAAGACATCAATCCACCAATACCCAGGGTTATCCTGCAGCAATTTCAAGAAGGTCTGACGTTTCTCTTTTCTCATTGGTATTGGCTCCACTGTAGTACCATCCTCGTCACTGATAAAGTCGCTCACGTCCCATAGGTTATCCTTTGGATCGGTGCCCCATAAATGTGATAGAGCATAAAATTTGCGATCAGGGACGTATGATGCCTCGTGTTTGGAGGGTGTAATGATTGTCATCTTGTCATCTTCGTCTTTAGGAGGAACATACAACAATCGGAAATCCGGGTGGGTGAACGTGTCTTCTAGTGTCCATAATTTATCGAATTCTGCATTAGTTGGAGGATCCTTTGATGTGCTAGTGATGGTCATGTACGCAGGCTACCAAGGCAAAAGGATTAGTTTTTTTTTTGGTAGACGGTTTTAAATTACCCTTGTATACCTAACAAAGGTGAGAAAGCAAGTTGATGTTTACGTACCAAGCATTGGAAAGCGTTTATATGTTGGCGCTCGAGATTATGTTGTGTAACTTTAGCTTATGTACATATACAAAGACAACTGCGAATGTGGCACTACATAGCACAACCCACCACACCATAGAGAAACTTTGCTGATCATTTACCCCGCAAGCGATAACACCTTTCATTGCATCCGTTGCCATGATCAAGGAGTGAATGCTTTGGTTGTGCGTATTTGCTTTCGGCTTGGCGTAAGAAAAAGGGCATGTTTGGAAAGAATGGTGGCCCCACACATAATGTGAATTATAACACAGCATAGGGTGTGAGAGGTCAATACGGAGTCAAATGCCGCCTTCCGACTAGTGTAAGATGATACATAAAAAGAGGATGCAAATGTGTGTGTAGAAGTAGGGAATGCTTGGTTTGTGATGTATACTGTAGCTTTTTTATTATATCATTATTGGAAGAGATCAACATGGATAAGATGATGGATAAGATGATAAGTAAGTATCGATTATCATTCTATTATTGACACGGCACATTTCCATCACTTGGGCTTGTCAAAGGAAAACGATATCAGCCGTCGTGGGGAGTAACTGGATCACATGAATCAAATCTTCAGCTACAATAATGCATGGTTGAACGCGTTGGCCAATGTCCGCTGCTGTTCCTTTTCCACTTCTTGTACCAAATGGATATCACACAACGCCTTCAGCAATGTGTCATTGGACCTCAACAAGAGACCTTAATCGACCTCGACAACGTGCTTGCATCTTCAGCTGTGGGTCCAGCTCAGGTTCAGAATCTCAAATAGTACGGCCAAATGTGTCCTTGTTGAGCAAGTTGGCTTGGTCGTGGCGCGTCAACTGTTATCCGAGTTTATCACGTTATTCAACGAACGAGTTCAAGACAATGAGGTCAAGAAGAAGTGTTTACTTTTGCGATTGATCATTCCCAACTTCGTTCAGTGAGCTTTGAAGAACAGGTAGGCGTGTTATCTACCTGCCAGTGACCTAGAGGTGCTAACCCAGCCTTTAGTTATCGCAACTACGAGAGAACGTTGCCAAAGTATATGAAGATGAAGAGGATTATCTTGAAGCAACCAAAGTATACTTGATTCGGGTCACCGGTAACGTACCATTCATCATCCATTATCCTTTAGGATCAATGCATTAAACGCATGGTGTGTTTTTGTAGGAGCATTTCAGATGAATACAAGCTTGGGATCTATGTACGAATCATGCGACTATTATTGGAAGTGGATGAAGCTGCTACTGCTGACACCTATCTCAATCGAGCGGCATTGTTGATTCACAACTCGAATGACCTCGTTCTCAATTTGACATTCAAGCTTTGCCAAGCACGCATCCTCGACGCCAAACGACGTTTCCTCGAAGCAACAATCAAATGCCATGAATCAAGCTATGAAACCCAAATTGATGAATACGATCGTCTTCGATGCTTGTAAGTGCTTTCAAATCAACAAGATCCATCCGTCAACTCACAATCGACTTGTTTTTAGAATGCCTACTGTGCAATGTGCTGGGTTAGCAGGAGCAGGTCCTCAACGATCATGCAGTTTGACTACGCTTTACAAGGATGAAAGGACGCACCATCTTGCAACATTCCCAATACTTGAAACGACGTACATGGATCGTGTGATACGGCAAAACGAAGTCGCCGATTTTTTCGCCACCTTGCAACACCATCATCGAGCCATACGTGAACACAACCTGCTCTCTGCATCCAAGGTTTACAACAATATCACACTTGATGAACATGCAGCTTATTGAATGTTTCGAGTTACAAGGCGGAGGAACTTGCAGGTCACATGATCAATGAAAATCGCATCAAATGGAGCAACTGATTTCTTTGAATCCGGAGGAGCAGCACTTAATGGGAAAACGGGTGGTGATCAAACACTCTTGGCAGCAGCTGCAAATGGTTGATCATCTCAACCCACTCGCCACATTGAACATTCCCCTTTTGGTCACCTTGTTATCAATGACGATCTGTGTATGCTTGATGATGCTACAGTGTTCCCCTGAAGACTCCAACTATTGCCAAGGCAACGATGGTGATGCTGCTGAGGATTCAACACGTGATTTACTTCTCGTTGTAGGTTTGGCTTTGGCTATTGTTTTGGAGGTTGTGGACGTTCATTAACGTGTCCTGGCAAAATAGTTGTGTTACTGATTCCTTTGGATTGTGTGGTGCTGCTCCAACGATGGTATTGTGATGTTGATCGGATCCTGATTCCATGGCAACAAGCTTGGTGATTGCTGCTATATCATACCTGAACATTGCTAGATTATACAGCCCGGGTGCTCTGCCAGGCATTACCATTGATATATTCTTTCATCGCACTGTAGACATTGCCCTTCATATAATAAGGATAGCTTAAGGCTGATATCGCGCTATTAAAGAATTCCATGAAAACCAGAATCATCACGTCAAAAACGGGTATTGGGGATTCCTCATGTTGGTGTTTCTTTACACCTAGCTTCGTTTTACTGTATATACACTTTTTGGGATTCACGGCCACGGCATCGTTAGTTACAAAATACCCTTCCTCGTGTTGCTCTCTTTTTCTCTTTTACATCCGCACATGGATTGATGTCAATGATTCCGCTATGGACTACTTTCGCCTATGTGCATAATCGGATGACATGATTGCGAAATTTACAAGCAATAAACGATCGTGGTTAGCTACAAGCAATCCGCTAATGCATTCAAGCCACTAATGTTAAAGCTAGCTGGATACTATGCATACTCGAGGCTGCCAATTCCTTTACTTTTCATTGCGAATGATTTTAAAGTATGCACAAACGTCTGCCAACCATTGTTCAACGACCACCTCACACTCAGCACATGAACAATCAACCTTAATGTACAATAAATTCTGATACACGTCTGCCATAGTGCATGCTCCCGATAGTGGGCATGATCGAGCTTCCTCGTAGATGTGAAAATGAAAAGTTTCCAGGCAATGTTTGATCTTTGCTTCTCCACATGGATCGTAGTCGTCATAGATAAAAATGATTGATTCCGAAAAAGCCTTCTCTGCAACCCGTTGGAAACTAAAGAGAAATCGATCCCATAAATCTTTCATAAAGTCCAGTCGTGGGATATCCCAACCCAAGATCCCAAGTACACCATATACATAATCTTCGGCAAAATAGCATGACCGTTCAGAACTGGCGAGTTGTGCTAATAGCCACTCGAGGTTTTCGAATCGATCTTTTTTCGACCGTTTCTCTAATCCATGGAAATTGTGGAGAGTATCTCTCAACACGGTAACATGACCTTCAAAGTAAGCGACGTTGTCGACCTCGTCTCCGATAACGTTCAACTGTAACATGCACATGCGCCACAAGTGCAACAGCAGGGAGCTGAGCGAATCAGCAGAGATGGAATAAGACATACCACCTGTCTCTGAGAGTAACATCACTGAAGATGGAAGGGCCAACTCTTGCATGGTCCATACACGTGAAAACCAACGGCATTTCCAAATAGCCATAGCATGTTTGCATCCTTCCAAGAGGAATGATGATATCGTCTCGGTCGGATGCAATGCCTCCCACCTCATACGTGCAACGTTTAGTTCAATGATCGCTTTGCTTTCGTCGTGAATCTCAAACTGAGGGAGTACTACTGAGAAGTATTCAATTGCTTTGGATGGGCAATCAATCATAGCAAAACACTTTTCGCAGCAACCATATACTCCTCGCATGATGACGGGCGGCGTATCGGTCCTGCAACACAAGACATCAACCCACCAATATCCAGGGTTCTCTTGCAGCAATTTCAGAAAGGTCTCACGTTTCTCTTTTCTCATTGGTATTGGTTCCACTGTAGTACCATCCTCGTCACTGATAAAGTCGCTCACGTCCCATAGGTTATCCTTTGGATCGGTGCCCCATAAATGTGATAGAGCATAAAATTTGCGATCAGGGACGTACGATGCATCATGTTTGGAAGGAGTAATGATCATCATTTTCTCATCTTCATCTTTTGGAGGAACGTACAGCAATCGAAAATCCTGGTGTGTGAACGTGTCTTCTAGTGTCCATAGTTTGCCGAATTCTATATCAGCAGCAGAAGGATCCTTCGATGTGCTAGTGATGGTCATGTATGTAGGCTACAAGCTAAAAGGATTGGTGATGGGTATGTAGGTACTTGTAAATTACACCTGTTTACCTGGTCAAGGGTGAGAAAGCAAGCTAATTGTTTACGTAGCTATTTGGAAAGCCATTTATACGTTGGCACTCGAGGTTATGATGTTGTGTAACTATAGCTTATGTACATGTGCAATACAACAACGGGTGTGGCACCATAGAGAACTTTGTTGATCGTTAACACGGCAAGCGATAACCCATTGCCATGATCAAACGAGTGGGTACTATTGTTTGTGCATGTTTGCTTTCGACTTGGCGTACATAAAAGAGCATGTTTGGTAAGGATGGCGCTCCCATAATGTGATGGATCATAACAGAGCATAGAGTTTACGAGGTCAATACGGAGACGGATGCCGCCTTCCGATCAGGCTCAAGATGACACATTCGATCCAACAATCACATGAGTCGACGATGCAACTAAATGATGCAAATGGTTTATGATGTGTAGCTTTACTATTATATCATTAGAAGGAGTGAATATATACATGATGATGGGTAGTAGGATGCACACGTATTATTTATCGCTCTATCTATTATTGATCACTTGGAGCTATGTCAAACGAAAAAAAGATGTCGGCAGTGGACGTAATTGGGTCACATAGATCAGATCATCAGCAAAAATAATGCATGGTCGAACGGCTTTCGTTTTCGATAAAAGACCAAAATACAATGTCATCGTAGTCTCTGGCTTGTCGTTTGGTGTGGTGAGAGGACAAGTTGGAGGAGGTGTTGAAGCGCATGGATTTCATTTCGGCGGGGTGTCAAATCACCAGGTACGTTGTGCGCAATGTCAACGCAAGTGGCTTGCGTGCTACGCTGGGTCAATTGGCTGCCTTGGAGAAGCTCACTGCTGCTGCTTGTTTCCTCTACAATTCTCAACCATGATTATTCCCGTTCGTTGTTTCTCGTGTGGCAAGGTGATTGGTAACAAATGGGACAACTACCTTTCTTTATTGCAGTCCGATTACACTGAAGGGTAAGTTCAATTAGGCCGATGGCTGTATCTTGTTTATACTGAACTCTCCAATTCAATAGTGAAGCATTGGACGCACTCGGTCTCCAGCGATACTGTTGCCGTCGAATGGTCCTTACACACGTCGATCTCATTGAGAAACTTTTACACTATAACCGTAAGTCCAAGTCGTCGTTGTCGTCATAGGTCTCAGCCAGTCGTATTGACACTTTTTGTTTTATCATCCAGCATACGAACGAGCCAAGAAGAGCCGTACTTGAGCAATCCCTATCATATCACACTCGCTACTTTGACAAGTCCCCAATTATATACATATCTATATACAATGGTTGGATCATGCAACAGAAAATCAAAGGAACAAGAAGCCTATCGCAAACACCATTCATCACCACGCATTACGTACAAAAATCATGGAAAAAGGATACTGTTGTAGCAATAAACACATTACTGCATTGTCAAAACGTGTCAGGGTATACGATGGATAGGAAGGATCATTGATTGTCAAACGAAGGATGGGGATGGGAATCGTAAACGGGGTGACATGGAAGTTTTGCACTACCCAGTGGAGTCATGTCATTTTTGTACTAGGAGATGGACCTGGTTACGTGGTATTCATGGCCACTAAATAGCGACATGTAATAATGGGGATGGAAGCAATAGCAACCTTTTGTGCGAATGGATGAATAAGCAATGATGGGTCACGTGTATGAATTTAGGATGCATGACTTGCACGCCTTTCTCCTTTCGCTCCGATCCTCAGGTTCCTCCTCCTTTCCCTTTTCAACCCAACCTCACCACCACCACCACCATGTTGCGACGATACGGATCGAGAGACAGCAAACACATCAATGAGAACGTACCCCAGACCAGCCAACACAAAAAAGATACCCTTTCGACCACGAACGCCTCCAACCAACTTTTACGACCCAAAGATGCGAATCAAAAGAGACGCGACAATAAGGATCAGGGTGCTAAAGACGGCAAGGACAATGCGTCCACAACTACCAGCCCAACACAAAGTATGCATTGCAAGCGCTATCATTGACTCTTAATACTGATCGTATTCAAAAGAAACCAAAATCAGGAGCTCGCATCAGGAGAGTGCTCTTCGTGTATTGCAACATCCCAAAACACGTCCTCCACTTGGATCCGTGACACCTGCCAAGCGACCTTTGAAAGGTAAAAAAAAATGACTTGCAGCCATTGATTCTTTTATGTTAAAACACGAACATTAGATGTACAACAACAACTACAACAATCCACACCAAAGCGTCTTGAAACATCTCCATCACGTCGTGGCATACCTGCTGCGGAAGAAGTTGAAGAATCCCTTGGTAAATAACACAGAGTCAAATCCCACATGTCGCGCCTATTTTAACATCGCGTGATAATAGATGATGATGATGACCTTGTCGCCCTTCCTGAAGTGGAGCTTGATCTTTCTCTTTTCGACGACGATCAAAGCACAACCGAACAACAAAGCCATGACACCACCAAAAAGACTGTTCACTCGAGAGAAGCAAGTCCGCAACTGCCATCGGTGGATGATGTCGAATATGCAGGAACCAAGGAACAAGGTAACTTTGAAAAGGAACATGTGCTTCGAGCGTTTATCTGATCAATGGATATCGTGTATAGAACTTGAGGATGAACCTGAACTTGCGGTGGATGTTTCTGGATTCGAGTATACATTGCCAAACATTGGAGCCTACGACATGAAAGCTTTACCTGAACTTGATTTGGAACTACAAGATGATGATGCTCCAGAAATCATCACTGGAAACACAAGCACATTGGATGACGATGAAGAGGGTGATGATGATGAAGGTATGGATGGTTTTTATTTGGATAAACAACATTGACCTAACCTCTTTTTAGTATTCCTGTTGGTTGTACCTTCCAATGATATCACTACACAAGAGGCATCCAAAGACGATCAAGAGCTGGATATACCGTTCAGTAACCACTTGTTTAATATCGAGCAATATGAAGATGTCGAAGCCTAGTTTGATCCTTTCCCTCCCTCCCTCTCTATTGTAAATATTCTTTGCTACTAAACAATGGTGCGTGTATGTGTGTGTGGCACAATTTGCTTTATTGTACGTATGGATAGGATATCATTTATCATTGTTGGAGGGTATTAACGAATCAAGCTGATGCAACCATTGCCCTAGCTCAAATAGAGATTCATTCAATGCTAATTGTAAATCCGTGGACGACCTTAATCCATCAATCTTTGGCGCTTGAATGATTTTCTTTTCTGTTGTAGGCGTTACGTCCGTAGCTCCAGATACTTGCCAATCAAAGTTTGAATTCGATGATGATGATGGTGATGAGAGATTCATTAAAGGTGGAATATCAATATTGTTTCGTCTTGTTCCAGAACCATTTGCCTTTAGAGAAAAAAAGGATGTCAATTTTGATCCCCCTCATTTTCATGTGTATGTGTCTCATTTACCTTGGGTGTACTATCGGCACTGATACTTCGTCTATGATCATGGTGCTTACTCGTCGTCTTGTTTGCATTGGATGGTGGTAGTGGTGGTGGTGTCGTTGTTACATCGGATGTGGATGATGATGTAGAATGAGCATGGGCTGATGATGATGATGACTGATACAATTGCTGCTGCTTATTAGCAATGAGTGCCTTTAAAGGAACCGAATCCTCTTCAGTACGTCGTAACGTGGTGGCTGATCGAACACGCCTTGCTAATGGAAGACCAGCATGTGTCGGCTTTAATGAACTTTCCTCTCTAGCAGCAACAGCAGCTGTATCAGGGGATGATCCTTGTCGATTTCGTAGTGGTACAGCTTGTCGTTGATCGGATTGTGATCTTGCACGCATCATAGGTTGGCCTTCTTTGAAGGATCGACTATGCGGTGAAAGCTTCTCTCCTTGAAATTGACGATTCGAGATCCCAGGTACAAGCGGATTACTACTACTCGACCATGGTTCTGCAGATGCTGTGCCGGCTTTCCTGGATGTCAGCAAATTGGTATCCGGTGGTGATGGTTGATATGTCGTCGTCGTCGTATCTTTTGCCTCGAGCAAATAACCATCATTCATCGTTGTTGTTGTTTTAGGACTTGAAGAAGAAATGGCGGGATGCAAGGGTTGTGGTGCAAGAATTGCACTTGAATCAAGATCAATGACAGGCGAAGGTGTTGTTGTTAAATTTTGTGGAATCGGTAATGCATTGGATGGAGAAGAAGCAATCGATGATGGCGTATTTGCTAATGGATTCGAAAGAGACGTGTTGTCAGGTGTTGCTGATGAATTACTCGAGGTATCCGTTGAATTCTCAAAGAGCCGTACAAGAGGATGCGTCTTATCATGTGCTCGTATTGGCTTGGGTTGAATATCTTGTCGCTGATTACTTGGACGAAATGTCTGATTGTTGGTCTTCTCTGCATCATCCTTATTGATTTGGCGTTGTCGTACAGTCTAAAAAGATGACAATGAATAACATTCCTTTGTTGATGCCATATCCTTAGGTACCTCAAATTCCCATTCATCATCCACCGTGTTTGGATTTTCAAAGTTTTTCAATCCTTCAATCGTTTCATTGTCACTGGGACCATGTTAGAATAGGGTGAGATGGGATACATACATATATCAAGGTTATGCATACCTTCCACTCTCTGAATCCGATCCACTCTTTTTCTCCCTGGTAGCTTTCCATCGATCATAACGCGTAATCAATTCTCGTAATAAAGACCTCTGTGCCTTGTTGCTATTCTTGATAAACCTTGTTCTTGACAATTCATCCGCACTTGGTCTCTATCCATCATGTCAGTATAATCGTTTGAGGATGAACATGTATTACTCACTTCATCAGGCTCCTCACACAAGCAAAGATCGACAAAGTCACGGATCGCAGGGCTGAAAGAATCAGGAAGCTTGGGCGGTTTGCTTCTGGGAATCAAGATGATTGCACGCATAGGATCCACATTGGCTAAGGGTGGGTTGCCTGAAGCCATTTCAAACACTGTGATACCAAGAGACCATATATCTGCCTAAATACCTACCTTTAGTGAACATTCTCCCTTATCACTTGTGATTTACCCAATTACCTTGAAATCATACGATGATCCTTGTCTTATCACTTCTGGGGCCATCCAATAGCTATCGTCATGCGTTAGAGCCAAGGTAAATCCTGAATAAGGAAAAAAGACCAAGACTTACGGAGTTCCCACAAAGGTGTTTCGCTTTAATGAATTGAGAGTCGTTTGTCCAGCGACACCAAAATCACATAATTGAACGTTCCCTTCGGCTGTGAGTAGAATGTTGGCAGCTAGTCATCGATGTTACAACATTTAGTATACTATCATGTTGCATGAATTGATATCTTTGTTCGAACCTTTGATGTCGCGATGAATGATGTGATTCTTGTGAAGGTAGGATAATGCCTGCAGTACTTGGCGAGTGATGACAGCAATGTATTTTTCCTCAATGTTGCCTGATTTCATCTTGAAGAAAGATGGTGAGACTTGGGAGGAGGAGGGAGAGGATCAATCAAAAGCCCGACTTACTATTCTTCGAACGCTGCCTCCAGCCGCATAATCCATAATAATCCATAGTTTGGTGTCATTGAGAACGCTGCCGTAATAAGGTGTGATATTCTGAGACTTTGCATGCGTGAGCTGTGATAAGAGCGCAATTTCTTTCTGGATATCATCGACGTCGTCTTCCTCTGTGTCGAGATTGAGTATCTTGATTGCCACAATTTGTCTTGTCTTGTTGTTGATGCTATTGCACTCGAAAGGTTAGGCCGTCTGAACATGGGCATCTGATAATGGACATCCGTGCGTACCCCTTGTAAACAGATCCATATGCTCCTTTACCTACGCGGTTCAGCTTTGTATAGAGTTGCGATGCAGGCTCTGTATGCGTTGTCATATTCACGACCAAAGGCTTCAGGTTAGCCCCCGTCGCTGAGAGAGAGAGATTGAGGACCTTGTCATGTCGGCTTTTTACACCCAGCTGATACGCCCCGTTTTGGTTGACCACTCGGCAAATTCGCTTAGGGATTCCCGATATCTAATGGATAGCCTACTACACAAACCTCGCTCGTTTTACATATCTTCATGTTGATAAAGACTTTTCTTTTGGAACAAACAGGAGGAGAAGATGTGTGCTTATAGTAGATCTTTATTGGTGTTCGTCCTTCGACATTGTGTATGAGCAAGTTGGGGGAAAAGGCACAAAAAATTGACTCTTTGAAGCTTTTTACGATAAATCCATGTAATCATTGGTCCCTCGGGTTGCTTCACGGCTATCGACTTCAGCCATAGTTTTCTTGTATTCCTCTGCAAGTGGACCTGTTTTCACTTCCTTCAAAAGGGCATTGAATTTGGGAGATCCTGTTTTATAAAGTTAATGATACCATCCAACATGAACAACGCCCATACACACACGTACCTGAATGTTCAAGTCCTTGGAGAGAGACTATACAACGCAATGTGGCACGCACCAATTCCTGATTCTTTTCGACTTCTTGCTTGACAGCATTGCTTCGCATTTTAAAGTCCAAGGTTGTTTTCAAGGGCTCGGCGTATTCATCAAGGCCTACATGAATGAGGGATAGATATTGAATAAACGTCCTCGCCTGCTTCCTTATAAAGCCAACTTACGTTGTTGAATTGCACTGGGCACAATCTTGGCAAGACGACCCAACATCAAATAGGCAAGCATCTTGATATCATGCTGATCATTCAAACCATCTCGTACACGATCCAAGAAATCATTGGCATCAATGGAATCAAAGTAGCCCAACAATGCATACAAGCATTCGAATGCGGCCTAAAGGAAAAAAAACCATCCATCCATCAGTAGGCAGGTCAACCAATACGCTACTACTACTACCCACCTTGCGAATTTCAAGACCATCATCAACCTTGTGCTTGAATGGACCCATTTCAACAGTATGAATCAACTCTTCCTTCACCACGGTCTCTTGATACAACAAAGGAATCATGTCACTGAGCATGTCCTTGACGAGTGCTTGCTTGCGATGCACGGCGGAGTTGAGTGTAAGCAATGCCAATCGTTGCACCTCCTATTATAGCTGGTTAACCAACGATCCTTGCCACTATCGTTATTTAACCATACCAAGCTTTCATCCTTCAATAAAGGCAATAAACCACTCAAAGTCGGCCTCAAGAGATCATCATGTTCATTCGTAGGATCAGCAATCGCGTATTTGATAGCCGTGGCAACCGTAGCACGCATATAGGCAGAAGGTGCTGATAACTTGGTCTATGAATTTCATTGAGTTTTAGTACCCTCCCATCTCGAATGATCGACCCATGGTACTTACCTGTAACACAGGGAAATATTGGTTGGGATCCGTAAGTGCCAGTTTACCAAGACATTCAGCAGCCACGTTGCGAGTACCCTCCTCCTGCTCAGTGTCACAGCTTTCCAAAAGAACTTCCCAAATCATGGTGGATACTTGTTGAAGCTTGTTTCCTTCATTCGAACGCGTGATGACCTACATGGTTTACTTAATAAGCAAGATCAAAAGAAAAACATGGTATACATACCTCTTTAAGAGAGTTCAAAAGCAAGTATCGCTTCTTGGGCTGCTCCTTGATTTGTGAGAGGATGACAGGTAAATGTTTGTTGATATCGCCAACGCTGATGTTGCCCAAAGCAAAGGCAGCGGCAAACTTGACTTCCTCAGATTGAGCACCGAATAATGCAAGAATGTTCTGTTGAATGCCATCGATTTGTTCCAATTCCCTAAATCGCCATATTGTCAACCTCTTTTGCTCGTATTCTTTGACCTATCACCATTACCTTCTTCGTCCAAGCTCACCCAACGTTAACAAGCTGAGGTACTTGATAGAATCATTGGTGGATGGTGTCTACTCAACAACGGATTAATTCACTCGAAATACCCTTTACAACAACCTTCATTGAACTTTACCTCGATCCAATTGCCAAACATTTTGATCGTCTCGTTGCGGTTGGCACCATCTACATTAGCAGCAAGCACAGCGACGCATTGAGCAACCGTGGCGGCGGCTTGTTTGTTGGCTACGGCTGCAACACCACCTGCGGACACGCCGGATGTTTGTGCGCTCAACATGGGGTTGATTAAGCTTTGTACCAATTCTTGATAATCTTGAGGATCGGCTTTTCCCAATGCAGCAAACAAATCCAATAAGCTATCCAACGCAGAGCCTTGCAACAATGGTGATTGGATCAATCCAAGAAGAGTGGGTAGGATCGTAGTCTTGGCTTGTTTTGCTGAAGCGGGTTGCACAATAATCAAGGTTTCCATGAGACGCAATGCAAGAGGCAACAAGTGTAAATCGTCATCGGACAAGAGAGGAACCACTTCATTCACAAGGTTTTGATAACTTTGCTCGCTGAGATACTCTCCGAATCTATCACAATGAAAGAAAGGTTAGATATCATTATCATCATGATGATACAAGATACTCACTTTTTGACAAGGATACGTAGGCATTGTGCGCTTGCCACACGCAAGTTGCGATTGCTTTTCCTTAGCAACATGGCAAGTTCATCCACAGCCTCCAATGCACAGCGTTTTGATTCTTCTCCAACGGTCACAGGGCTTTGGCAGACGATTGCCAATGTGCGCATGGTAATCACACGAGTCACTTCGTTTCTTAAACGTTCCAAAAGCATATCCCAAGCCTCTCGTTGTTCTGATTGCAACACGTCGTTGGTTTGAGACAACAACGCACCAAAGCACATGATGGATCGTTCCTTGACTTCTTGATCAGCATCACTGGTGGTCATGATTTGAACCGTGGCTCGATAAATATCATGGATGTAAGGCATGTATTGATCGTTCATGGGCGAAATGTCGTATTGCTGTGTCTCACTGTTGTATTTGATGGGTCGAATAACTTTGAGCAGCTCGATGCACACAACCAACGCTTCTGATGCAATCTTGTAGAGTCTGTCGGATGTTGTACGGATCACAGCTGGAGCAAGACGATCAAGGAAGGGATACAACGATGCTGGTTCATGCGTACGGAACAATTGGCGTAAAAAGGCCAATACTTCAATTCTGAGATTGGATGTCAATGCAACTTGTTGCTGGTCACCTGCAGCTGTAAGCGATCCTTCAATGGCAGGAATAAAGAGTTGGATACGATCATCAAGTCCGCTTTGCAAGACATAAAGGAGTTCACGCAAAAGATGGAAGCCAGCCTGACGTGTTTGTGTTGACTTGGAAGAGAGTTGCTTTGCAAGAGCTGTGGTAAGGTTGGGAACCAATTGAGAAAGTAAAAGCTTTGGTCTAATAATGCACTTTGTAAATAACAGCAGCCATCACCACTACCATAGCCCTACTTACCCTTGAGTTGGTTTGGTCACTGCACGAGGCGTAATCTCTGGAAGAAGGCAAAGCTCTTCACCGAATCCAGTGGTATCAAAATACAAATTGACGCGACGTGCTTCTTCAAGTTTGATCAATTCTTGTCGCTCATGAATGCCGGTTTGTCGCAATAAAATGATGAACGTTTGCAATACATCAATGCGCACTGTTTCTTCCCGTTCTTTGAATCGATTGATGAGAGCTGGTGCGACGTTCTCGTAAAGTTGCTCAAGAAGATCCAATCTTGTCTCAATGACAGCTGCTAGTAATTTGGTGGCCGAACGTCTCACTTTCCAGGAAATATCATCATCGTCATCTGAATATTCACTTTTTAAAGATACCCTCATTAGCAACGTCGATTGGTCCCTTTGCCTCTCTTTTTACTCACATTGCATCATCAAATTCATCGTCCTCGCTCTCTTCCATCTCTTCATCCTCCTAAAATGAATGTGTAAGGAATAGCATTTGCAATAAAAGATAAAGACCTACCTCATCATCATCATCCTCTGCATAATTGGGATCGTACTTGATATACTCTAATCCAAGCTTGATGATCTCATTGAGATAGGAAGTAATCTCTGTTGGGCATCGGACCACAAATGATTCCAAGGATTGCAGACAAATCTCGCGTAACTCATCATCCTCATCGGCTTGGACAGTGTGTTGTACAATGATAGGCATCACTTGGGAGAGATAACCACCCAAATGCTTCGTGCTGTAACGGCTGTAGACAAAGCGTCAATATCCCATACACAAGTTCCCTAGAGCCATCCACAAACCTTAAGACACCAGCACATTGAATCAACGTACGTAATTTTTCACTGCTCTTGGTAGACTCCAATCCTCGCAACAAACGCTCCATCAATGTCGAATACATTTCTTCGGTAAGATGTACGACTGAATAACCGATGGCTACTGTGGTCCGCTTACGCACTGCAGCACGTGGATGATCCAACAATGGCATCAATACTTGCTGTACTCGAGATTGCTCTTCACTGGTGACCTGGGATCCAAACCGAGAAAGCACTTCGGCAAGAATATCAAGGGAATCCATTTGCATTTCATACGATGACTATGAAAGAGGCGAGTGTTATTAATGATGCTGATGATGATGAGCTTGATTACTTACTGATTGAGCCATTTCTAAAAGCCTTGGTAGGATTCGAGGACAAATGTGTTCACCCATGGAAGGATCGACCTCGGAAATGACAGTCTTAAGACCTGGTGATGAGGTTGAGTGTCTCGATCTCTCTCTCGTTTGATACCCATCCTTTATCCTAACGACACGACGTACCCATACTAGCAATTCCTCGAAGCATTTCATCCTCTGTTTGCGTTGCATAGTCGCTCAACTTTTCAATGATCTCCAAAGTGTTATCCACACGGACCCGCTTCACCAAAGGACCCAAGCTAAAATATATATACGGTCAACGTGTGTGATTACGCAAGCATAGCCTACTGCGCAACATACCACTTGACAGCAAGGTTTTGCACTTCACCACTATTGTCACGCATCAAACCAAGGACGGCAGTAATAACCTTGTGCTCAATGGCCTCGTCGATATTGATGACAGCATTCTTCTCCAACTCGTTTATCAGGTCATTGAGAGCCATGTACCGAAAATCACGGTCGTCGTTGCTCATCTATTGAACAAGCATGTTTCAGTCTTTGCTCCATTGTATACGATAGAATGTACCTTTTCGATGAGGTTGGCGACCATGTACGCGTTTGTTCCAGCCATGATAATACACTGTGCACAAGAAAGCGATACTGTTGCTGCTTGAGCGAGAGAGAGGCGCGTTAAAATGGTCGGAGTCAAGCACACTTGGGCTTGGTGCGTTGCATTATGCTACCGCACACACACACACACACACACGTGCCGTTGTGCATGTTGACTTTTGCTATAACACATCCCAAGGAATGAACCACTTGTTTACACTTGTATCTAATGATTTGTACTCTATTGTCATACATAAATTTGAGGAGACCAACATACCATCCATGTCATTATGCGACCATTAGAGGGATTTAACATTGCATGATGGGAACATGAGAACTATTGCTTTTATTCACGTATATGGAAAATGACTATAATGCTCAATGTTTGAGGGGATGATCAATGGCAATGGGGAGAGTGGGAATGTGCACATCCATGTGTGATTTTGTGACAAGCTCTTCCCCACCACCATGCACCTGCAAACCTCTTCAAATCCCAAAAGCACTCGATCAGAAAACGACATCATCAACCATATTATAGGTTTACCTCCTTTTTGATGATGAGCGCCCTTATATGGTACGACAAAGTCCATCATTGACCTAGGGAATTCTTGAATAGACGAAAGGGATGCGGGATGCCAACAGCCTTGTTAATGTGTACATGCAGCTAGGAATTGCTGTCTATAGGAGGTCTTCATTAAGTGGTCAGCCATTATCTTGGATATAGATTGAACGAGCTGCGGCTTCACCTTGGAATGGAAACGTTGTGGCAGCCAAGACAAAAGACAGCGGGGTTGTAGTGCAATGCGTCTAACAATGGAAACCCGCTGATTGCACCACACCTCTTCCACCTCCATATGCGATATCAACCAGTGAACAAGTATAGAAACGCCGTTAGCCGTGTAGCTCCCAAAGAGGTAGTGTCATGCAACAACAAGAACATCCTTTCCGTGTACTCACTTTGTATCATTAGCACTGGTATCCCGATTTGCAACTGGCAACATCATCGGATAGCGCAAGACTAATTCAAGCCAACAATAACTGCATCGCTGTCAAATGGACCGGGAGTAAGGACGTCTAAACGCGTTACAATGCAAGAGGTAACTGAATGGACTCTTGTATAGATGGTGGATCTATTGGGTTGCTGCCTCTTGATAAGACCGGGAAAGGATGTGCCAACGAGACACGGGTATTCCAGGCTCACGGCGGTGCATCAATAACAGATTGGGAATTTTCGCCGTTCCATGAGAATCTTCTTGCTACAGGTGCCGAGGATGGCATGGTAAGATCATACGTAGTTGGATATGGAAGGAAATGTGTGTACCAATTGGCTATTGTATTGTAGATCAAGCTTTGGGATATTTCAACCGTATCCGACAACAATCAACCCGCTTGTGTATCCACAATTTCTCTACCATCCAGGAAGGTGGCATCATTAGGCTTTCATCCTACAGCAGATAATGTATGACATCTTGATGGAGATTATTGGATTGTGGATGACTAAGGTATATGCATGTGTGTAGATTGTATCCACCTTGGGCAACGAAGGCAAATCCCTTTGTATATGGGATATCCAATCTTCAGATCAACCATCCTTGGACATCAAGAATACGTCGCCCAATCCTTTTCAATCATTTTCATGGAAGTCCGATGGTCGCTTAGTGAGCACGATTGCTAAATCATCATTGACGTTATGGGATCCCAGAGCAAGTGAAGCTCAATTATCGGTAAGTGAGAGGGAAAAGTAGTCTTGGTGGTGATCTTACATGAAATTTTAGTCTGGTGTTGGCCATGAAGGCATCAAGGGCTCTCGTGTTGTCTGGTTAGGAGAATCAAATTACCTTTTCACAGTCGGCCAAAGCAAGGTATTTATATCGTAAGGATCATCCAAGAGATGAAGGATGCTAACATGTACGTATCGCGTTGTTAGTTCCGTAGTCGTGAATATGCTGTATGGGATGCACGCAACATGGCCAAGCCTTTCAAAAAGACAACGCTGGATACATCTTCGGGTATCATGCTCCCTCTTTATGATCAAGATACCGAGACCATGTATTTGGTCTCTCGAGGCGATGCCACGATCCACACTATTCAATTTTCAGATTTGGCGACCACACCTTCGTTAGCTGAGAATCAACCATGCGGTACAACAGCATCCATTTATGGAGCCACCTTGCTACCAAAGACATCCCTACGTGTCATGGAAACCGAAATTGCTCGCATTCTAGCTGTTGTTGATAATGGTGTTATGCCCGTATCATTCCACGTGCCAAGAAAGGTAAATCAAAAATCCATGATCAACTAGCACGAAAAGTAACCTATTGTACTACCATTAGCAATACATTGATTTCCATGGCGACTTGTATCCTGACACCAACGGTGATGGTAAGTTATTATGCAATGCCATCAAACATGTATGCTTATGATTATCGATAGAACCTGGTGTCACCGGCCAAGATTGGTTAGCTGGAAAGGATGGCCAAGTACCCAAAGTATCTCTACGTCCTGGACAACAACAACAGCAACAACCACAGCAGCCTTCACAATCAAATACAACCACAACAGCATCACCAGCACCAGCATCAACAGCATCAGCACCCGCACCCGCACCCGCAGCACCAACATCCGTGCCACCAACAACCCAAGAAAAGGCTGATGACAGCAGCAATATACAAAAGAACGACACCAAGCCTGAGACGACCACAACAACAGCTGCTAAACCAGACATGGCTGATAAAGCTCCAGAGACACCCTCCCAGCCATCCAATGTCAAACCCAAGGTGTTGCCAAAGTATGGAGCTGCCAAGATGAATTCATTCAAGTACCTTTATGGCAAGATGATCCATCCTACCTATGATGATCTTCGAGACCTTTCTATCGACAAAGCTGGTATTTCAGAGTTGATCCAGGTAATAATACTATCCATAGGCAACGTTTAGCTTTTCAAGATTACTCAACCATACTTTAGGCTAGTGCCGATTTTATTGCTGTTCCCATTGCAGGCGCAGGTGGTCGTGTGGGAATCATTCAGCAAGTTGAAAAGCCTTCTCGTCTCCCTACCCATCTTCCTTGTGTGGTCTGTGGTTCTCCTGTCACCTACTTTGTATTCGATCCTTTTGATTCCCATAAGCTGATAACAGGTAAGCATCGACTTTGACTTGTTAATATCTCCATTGCTAATCATCGCCTCTTGCATACATACATAGCTTCTGAAGATAGCGTCATCCGATTTTGGAAGTTATCATACGAAGACAAGGATGATCCTGTATTCGACTTGGTCAAGAGCATCAAAGGTATATATAGGAAATGACATTTCAAAGATGAACAAGCACTAACTACTACTCCTATTGTAGATCCATCCATGGATAAGATCAGCCATATTCTACCTCATCCAAATGCACAAGGCGTCTTATTAAGTGCATCCAATGATCTCGACAGCGCTGTGGTGCGTATATGGGATGTTGAAAATGAAGAAGCCAAGGTCAAATTTACCGTTACTGCTTCCCCTCTTTCGGCTGCATGGAGTCCTGATGGCAACAAGGTGGCTATTCACAGCAAGGACAAGCAATTGCAAATTTATGATGCACGTTCTGGTACCTTGATTGGTAAAACAAAGTCGCATGATGGTATTCGACCTTCTCGTATCATGTGGATGGACGATCATCGTCTTGTGAGCGTTGGATTTGGTGCAGGCTCAATGCGTGAAGTGCTCGTTTACGATATCAATCAATTTGAAAAGCACATTGCCAAAAAGATGCTTGATGTTTCACCCAGCGTGATGAGTGCCCACTATGATCCCGATTGTAAGATCCTGTATGTGGCTGGAAGGGTAAGTCTTGTTCATATCTTTTTTATGGCGATACTAATACTGACCTTTTAGGGCGACCGGATTATCCATACCATCTCGATCAATGATAAAGAATTGGAATCGCTGTCCCCCGTGGAATGTGGATCGCTTCAGCAGGGGTTTGCCTTTTTACCCAAGCGCTTATGCAAAGTGGATCAAGTAGAAATTGCAAGGTTCTTCCGATTGACGCCAACAAGTATTGAACGTCATGGTATTCGTGTACCAAGAGCAAGGGTAAGATGGGATACAATGGGCAAATGAAGCATGTTGCTAATAACCTCTATTAGCCTGAATTCTTCCAAGACGATATCTTCATTGATACAGCGGACGTTGAACATCCCTCACAAAATGCAAGCTCATGGTTTGATGGTGTTGATACGCCCTTGTCCAAGATCTCCCTCAAGCCGGATCAAATGACAGCATGTAAGTAGTAGTATATTGCATTTGCTGTTGTTAGTCCCATCGCTCATGGTATCATTTACAGTATCCGATGCTCCTCCTCCACAACATGCGCATGCCAATAATCATGCCAAACAACTTATGGATATCACAACCACACACGAACACCGTGAAAATGCCATGGATGCCATGTTTGCTTCGGCCAAGAACGTTGACGACGATGATCATCAAAAGATGAAGCACGCTACTACTAGTAAAGAAGATGAAGAGGTCGCTGAAGATGAATGGGTAAGCCTATATACAGCCATTCACATGGCCTCAATACTAATCCTGCTTATTCTTTATCCCATAGGATGACTAGTGCTAGTTCTAGATTAGAGAATACTATACAAATAGATTCGTTACCATTAATGACTACCAGCGCCGGCTGTTCGCTTCGCTCGTAAACCTTTGAATTGCTTAACACTATCTATGGAGTATTGATCTGATCGCACAATAAGTTTACACGTTTATGCCACCACACACAATCTTGCAAATTACATCGTTACAGGAACCTGAAGAGAAAGGACCTGATTCTTTCATTGTATCTTCAGAAAAGCTGTGTTCGATAGTATAAGTCACCTCCCTTTTTATGATTTAGATCTTGTAAAATGTTATTTTATCTACTGTGAGAGACCACGTAAATACGCGAGATGCGTGTATTTAGATTGACTACTGCTCAAAGTTATCAGGAGACGAAGCTAATGCAGGGCAGGGTTTGTTGATGTACCCTTTTGCAAGGGGTGTCTTGCAGTGGATCAATAGGTATACAATTGTTGGTTTATGCAGCTCGACCTTCTCCTACATACAAACGTGATATGGAACCATCATTGTCATACGCATACCTTGACACGCCTTCATTACTGGATGCTGTTTACGTATGTACCTTCACAAATGGCAATCATCATCATCATCCATTTGTGCAGCAACCTATCAAGGACGTGTTTGTGTAACCACACCACGTGCCTTTTCACTCGGCTCTTCATCTTCCCGTTAATGCAACCGACACCATCCACTAGGTAAAAGCAACTCCATCACGCTTACGGCATACGTAAAACATACACGTGTCTGTATCTCTAAACTTTACAATCAAACGTGAGTTCTTTATGAGAACAAACCTGCTTGGCTTGGCCAACAGCACCTTGTGTGTAAGTTTCACGTTCATCGTGGCCAATCCCAGATTTCGCAAATGTCGCCACCAGCCAAAGTGGATCTCGGGTCGACCTCTTGAATTTTTTTTCGACGACTACCAAAAATATTTTTGGCTGGTAGCGACATTGGGTGAATCTGGGAATGGCCACGATGAACTTCATACTTTGACACAAGATCGCTTTGACCCCGCCGAGCATATTTGTTCTCTTAAAGACCCCACGTTTCATTGTGAAATCTTGAGATATGACTGTCTTTATGTTTTACATATGCTGTAAGCGTAACGCTATATGAGAGGTGGTCTTTGTTCATTGTCAGGCAGCTAGACCTTGGAGAGCCAAAGATGCAGGAGGACCTCTTTGTGTAACCGAGCTAAAAAGTCCCGACTTCAGGGACGATGCATGACAGGTACGCAATCTTCATTTGCAGTACACACATTGGCAGCTAATAGCCACTTTTATGCATTCAAAACTTTTGTGCAAATCCATAACAATGGAACGATGCTCCTGCTGCAGAGCTTCATTTCCATCATTCAAGTAGCTTGATCCGAGCTGATTTGGTTGAGTTACGGTCGAACAAGGATTAATCAGCTGAGACATTCGAATGTATGCTGATGTATGGATTGATGTAATCTCTCTTTGACTGTACCTCAGCCAAATCAACTCGGATCAGGAAAGCCGAATGATGGAAATGTTGGACTGGAGCAGGAGAATCGCTCACATGTCATGGAGCGGACAACAGTACCGATTGTGAGGAAATTGCTGTTAGCTCGCAATGTATGGGCTATTGTCAATAGTATACAGTATCATCCTTCCATCCTTGCAGCCATGCAAAGTAGCTGAGTTACACAAAGAGGTCCCTCTGCATCTTTTGCTCTGCCAGGGTCCAGCTACTTCACAATGAACAAAGACCACTTGTCATATAGCATCACGCACACAAACATAAAGGTGCCTGTATCTCCAAACTTTACAATGAAACGTGTGGTTTTTATTAGAGCAATGTGCTCGGCTTGGCCGACAGCACCTTGTGTGAAAGTTTCGCGTTCAATGTCGCAAACAGCCCCAAAAATATTTTTTGGTCGTCGAAAAAAGTTTCAAGAGGTCGACCTCTGGATCCAGTTGGGCTGGTGGCGACATTGCGAAATCTGGTATTGGCAAGCTTGATCGTGAAACTTTCACACAAGGTGCTGTTGGCCAAGCCGAGCCCATTGCTGTAATAAAAACCCCACGTTTCATTGTAAAGTTTGGAGATACAGGCACCTTTATGTTTGTAAGCGTGATGCTATATGAAGAGTGGTCTTTGTTCATTGTCAAGTATTTATAGGGAGGCTTTTGGCCTCGTTTTATTGGGAGTGCATCGAAGAGTGGCACCCCAAAATCGGAACGATATAGAAAAACGTACAAGGAATACGTATTGAAGGAATGACTAAGTCGGGCTATAGTTCCTCGGTGGCGAGGGACTTCCCGAGAAATGAGAGGATGGGGCAGAGGAGAGAAAAGGTTGACCGTTTTGTTTAAGTGATTCAGCAAGAAGTTCAAGGGCAGAAGGTGTCAAGAAGGCGGTGATGTGTTTGGCTTGGTCAGACATAGGGTAGGTATGGTGGATATGGCTAAGAAGGCTGGATGTGGATTGTGGTGTTGGCAAAGGCATGTTTTCATCGAAATCATCAGGTGTGTACTCGTTAATGATATTGTCATTATGGCTTTCAATAGGCGATAGATCAAGTTTTAACATGGAGATATCAGACGATTGGCTGTTGGCAGATTGAGACGAAGGTGAACGAGGCAAAGGTGTGGTCGTGGGACTGTATGAATCAGGCTTGGATTTACGGTTGAAACACTTAGCGGCGCGATGGCCTGTTTGGCCACATGACCAACAAACACGAGAACGAGTGGCACGATTAGGACATGCAGATGTAGCGTGACCAGCTTGGTGGCAATGAAGGCAATGGAGCGGCATTTCTGCCCACGTAACATGAAACAGATCATCTGAGTTGGGCCATGCAACTGTGTGGCGTAATGGAATTGTATCAGAGTTGGCATTATTAATCTCCAGAGTGGCATAGCCTTTTCCCATGAAAAGGTGAGAATCGTGATCGCGAAGGATACCATAGTCAAGAACGTTGCCGTAGTCTGAAAGTGCTGTTTGGATACCTTTTGATAGCTTGTCCCTTGTGGTAAAGGGAAGGTCACTTAGCTGAAGATGTACAAGGCGAGCATCAGGAGAAAGAGGTGTCGAAGGCAAAATGCATTGGTTGTCAGGGAAGCTGATACCCATGAAATTGATTTTGCTGTAGTCTTTTTTATCGGCAATAAAGAGTTCGACAATGCGACGTGCGTGATCAGAGTGGAGGCGTACCCCACAGTTGTTGGGAAAGCTCTTGTTAATATGGCAAAGTATTTCTGAACGGTGTTCTGGACGAGAGGTGAAATCAAAAAACAAGCTGGGACAAGAGGCTGGAGAGCCGCCTACTTTCCACACATTGGAGTGGACGGCGTATTTACGATCTTTCGGCGTCTTCAAAGAATCACGAATGAGCGAAGGACTACGTGTAGCTTTAGCATACGAGAGACGTTGACGATTTTGTGTGCCTGTTTCCTTATCAGGCAATTTGGTTAAATTCTGGGAAGACATGTTTGTTCATTGTCAAGTAGGTGGACCCTGGCAGAGCAAAAGATGCAGAGGGTCGTGTTGTGTAACACAGCTACGTTTGCATGAATGAAAGGGTCAATGTATAATTACTTTATGGATCATCTAGGAACAGGCATGTATTGCTAGCTAACGGCCACTTTTATCCAATCATCATTGTTGCGAGATCCACTGCATGGGAACGATGCCCCTGCTTTAGACATTCATTTCCATGATTAAAGTAGGTTGATCCGAGCTGATTTGACTGAGCTACGGTCAAAGAGAGATTACATCACTCTGGACATAAAGCACGCTCGATGTAGCTCAACGGATGAAATCTTGTGTGAGCGTAACTCAACCAAATCAGCTCGGATCAACCTACTTTAATCATGGAAATGAATGTCTGGAGCAGGAGAATCGTCCACCCACAATAGAATGCACAAAGGTTGGGAATGCACAAAAGTGGCTATTAGCTGCCAATGTTTGACATAAAAGTGAGGGTTGCGTACCTTTCATGCATTGTCCCTGAAGTCCTGACTTTTTAGCTGAGTTACCCAAAGAGGTCCTTCTGCATCCTTGGCTCTCCAAGGTCTAGCTACTTGGCAATGAACAAAGACCACTTCTCATATAACATCACACTTACAAACATAAAGGTGCCTGTATCTCCAAACTTTACAATCAAACGTGGGGTTTTTATTACAGCAATGGGCTCGGCTTGGCCAACAGCACCTTGTGTGAAAGTTTCGCGTTCAATGTCGCAAACAGCCCAAAAAATATTTTTTTGGTCGTCGTCGAAAGAGGTTGAGCCCCAGATCCAGTTTGGCTGGTAGCGACATTGCGAAATCTGGGATCGCCCACGATGAACTTCATACTTTGACACAAGATTCCTTTGACTCCGACAAGCACGTTGATCTACTAAAGAGCCCACGTTTGATTGTAAAGTTTGGAGATACAGGCACCTTTATGTTTGTAAGCGTGATGCTATATGAGAAGTGGTCTTTGTTTAATGTAAAGTAGTATGACTACGATAGAGCCAATGATGCAGAGGGGCGTGTTGTGTAACTTGAGTCAGTCAGAACAGGGGATGCATGATACTTGTACACTTTCTAGGAATAGTTCAAAATGCCAGCTAATAACCCAGTCCTCGCGTTCTCCATTGTTGGCCAACCCAATGCATGTGAACGATTGTCCTGCTCCAGCCCTGAATGCCCATCCTTCAACTTTCTTGATCCAAGGTGATTTGAATGAAAAACACTCAAACACAGAAACATCATCCAATTTGAGAGAAATCATTTTGCAAAGTTATTTGTAAACTACCGGTTGATAGCCCATTCCTCCCATTTACCTTTGTTGCCCAATCCAATGCATGTGAACGATTGCCCTGCGCCAGCCCATCATGCCCATCCTTCAACTTTCTTGAACCGAATGATTTTGTTTGAGGTACGCTTAAACAAACAAACAGCACCCAAGCAACTTAATTTCCTGTTCTTCCACCCTCAGCTTCTTGTCTCTTCCTCTCTCTCTCTCAACTGTTGGCCCATTCAAGTGCAATTACCACCTGCGATCGATTGTCCTGCTTCAATCCATCATGTCAAGCCTACGATTGCCTTGATCCGAAGGCCTTTGACTGAATGACAAGTTCATGGCGTGTTCACCCCACAACAGCACCCCCGTTTCTTGATACTACACCCTCTCTTGTGCACTTCCTCTACCAACACCAAGCGCAACAGCAATCAGTCCAGTGGTTGCCATTAGCAAAGTCTTTTCTTCATTGATTCGTATGGTGTTCACAACCTTATCACTCAACTACAACACTCGCTCTAGCACACTCCTCTGCGAGACCACTCGTAACAGCATTCATTCCAGCAGTTGCTATTAGCAAGTTCTTTACTGTATTCCATCGTAGCAATAAACAGCGTTCGTTACGTGCAGCAACTTGTCTTGCAGCCTTTTCACGCGAACAGCCGATAGCCATTGTATAGATGCAGCTTTATTTACGTGTAGAAACTACTTCCAATACATACGACTTTTTATGAACACGTTATGGATATGGATATGGTTTTTGGTGCATCGGGTGGAAGGGGATCTGGATATAAACAACACGTGGAAAGTGAGTCTTTATGTCCATTGTGCTCGATACTATCATCCTCAACGATTGACGCATCCGACATGGCAGCCACTATCAGCATCCTTTGCCATCATTCGGCTGCATATACTTGGCCATCACGATTACATAAAGAACACTTCATGTTCATCCTTCACTTTTACACACGTGCGCGCTCAAAGGATCGAAACTTGCCAAATCGATGTATCTCTCTTTGGAGTAATTCGTTGTACCTCTCAACCTATCTCTTGAATGATGTTAAATAAAAGGATTGTTTTTGCGAATACACCACTTCCCAGTTCATACGGAGTAATAGACCTTCTATCTTCCTGAGTTGAACCTCGCCGTATGTGTGTATTTTATGCATTGTATTATAGAAAGTTTTATGGTATGGCAAATGCAAATCCTATTTCCTTGTGAATGCTGTGATGAAGGAAAAGCGGTCTGATGGATTCATTGTGTCCAGAACAAAGAATCCATTCTATAATACAGCTCACCTCCCTTTTCCTTGTAATTACATAGATCTGATCAAGGACGTCGTAACTCATGTTCCTCTCTTTGAGATTTAGATCATGTAAGGTAGTTGTCTTATTGATGTATGGCGCGGGTGACGCTTGTTCGGATGTGGTTCTAAAAATGGTGGGTATTGCATTGACCATTCTCTTCGGGTATCCGCCGCCTTGAACATGATTGTCACGCAATACACATACACGTAACAACATTATAGTATTTCGTTTACGTTCAAATGACGAGTCATGTATGCGACACCACATGACCCTTGAATGCACCCATAAGGCTACTCTGATTATCAAAAGTATCATGGGTACAACTCATGTGTTCGAATCAGGCTTATCTCGCTACCACGGTTTCGAGTCATCAATGAATATCAACATTAGAGTCACATGAATGGGTCTTGACCATATGGGACAATGTAATTCATTCACATGACCTCTTACGTCAAATACAACTTGCTGATGATACCCTTTGGAGCTAACCAATGTAATTAAGAACGTACGACACGGCCAGTTAAATGCGTTTAATACGTTTTATTGAATACCGAGGAATTATAGTTAAGATGGGAAAGGGGGATGACTATATCTAGCTAACGTCATTCATGGCTAATTGGAAGATCATGGAAGGATAAAATATCAATTGACATCGAGACACCATAGTACAATCATGAAAAAGCTTCTTATTGCTTCGAACACCATCATACGTTTACCCAAAGTATAGAACCTTCATGTCCACACCAAACACTTCCATATGTCAAGATCCTTATCACGTTCTATCCTTTTGGAAAACATCCTTTATTTATATATAGTTTATGCAGCTACCATCATTCCCTCAAGACCTGCACCACTTTCCATTTGTTCCTTGACAAACATTTCGAAATACTAAGCAATGATAATGTGAGCATGTATAAACCTTTCAGTCTCAATTTCATCTTTATGCTTACCTGGAAAATGATGGTTACACAAAGCAAGATACCGGTACCAGAGCCAATAGCACCAATCATGTCAGCCAATACAGAGACGGCACCAAGGCAAGCACCACCAAAAGAAGCGGCAACGGGAATGACACGCTTCAATTCCTTGTACATGGAAGTGTCACGATAACCAGCAATCACCAATTGTTGATCCTTGAGTTGGCGTGCGACATCACGGGGAGAAGAACCTGATACTTCGATCCAAGTCTTTGAAAGCATAGCACAACCAGCAAGCATGATGCTGACATAGATAACGGTATGAATAGGGTCCAACAAGGCAGCCGTCATGTTGCGAGGAGCCGACAAGTAGTAAGCCAAACCGCTCTTGGCGAAGAGTTGTGCTGATCCTTCATAAGGTTCCCACACACCCAATAAACGGACCAAGATGTTATCTTCAAAGCGCTTGTAGAGCATTTGGGAGATCATGAAAATGTTGGAAGTCATGGTGGATTGAAGCATGATAGGCATGTTGCTTGTATAAAACAACTTGACAGGGTATGTACCACGCTGACCACGTACACGGTTGGACTTGACAGGAAGTTCGACACGGAAACCTTGAAGATAGATGACAATGCCAAAGATGATAGCTGTTGACAAGAGACTCATGACATTGGGAAGTGGATTGCGATAGAATGCTTCCTTGAGAGCGCGTGTCTTGTCCTTTCGGCTCATCAAAAGATGGACCAATGCGATCAATGCACCTTCGAATTCATCACCGCGTCCAGTATTAATCGTTGTAGGTGAAAGTGCCTTCCAAAAGATCGTCTCACAAATGTTGGTGGCAATGAACAAGTTGATACCAGAGCCCAATCCATAGCCCTTTTGCAGTAATTCATCCAAAAGCATTGTAATAAGCGAAGCAACCACCAATTGGATCACAAGAAGCAAGCAGACACCAGCACCAATTTCGCGTGGGCTACCATAGAGACCCGTCAATACGGACACCGTAGCATGACCAAATGCAATGATCATAGCAAATACTATATACATAGATACACGTTTAGTAACGCGTTTTTTTCTCTCTCCCTTCCTTCCTATCATCCCATCCCATCCACTTTTTGCTTGCATATCACTTACGCTTTTGTGCACCGCTGAACAAGGCACGGTCCTCCTTTAAGCTGTAGTCGACTTCAATGATATTGGCACCCGATAATAATTGCATAATCATGCCGGATGTGACAATAGGCGTGATACCCAATTCCATCAATGTACCACGGTTGGAAGCAAGAATAACTCTCATCCAGAAGAGAGGATCCGAGGAATCTGACGACATGATGCCATAGAGTGGGACTTGTGACATGACCAAGAAGATGAACAACGTAACGGCTGTCCACATGACTTTTTGATTGAAAGGAACCTATTGTTTATCCAACTCATAGTGTCAGCATGGCGCTTCTCCTTGCACTGTGCCTGATCCACATTGACACTCTACCTTGCGATCGGGGGTCGCGATTTCGGGCAAGATGGCCATGAACGGCCTTACCAAGTGAAGTACCCTGACTGTATGGAGCGAATGATATCAGCGAATAAACGTATAATGTATCGTATCAGGGTGTGGTGTACTTACAGCCCATAGTTGAAAGGAATGGGAATAGATTAAAAGAAACGCGCTAGGGATAGCAGAGGGAGGAGCATGGATTACACATTTGCTGGCTAAACGTCAACCAATGGAAATTCTAGCCAATGATTAGACGTCAAATATAAACTGACATGTGTGCTATTCAAACACAGCAGCCACTCCCCCATTAGGCATATGCAATTTACCACCCACTCACCCAACTCATCATCATCATCATCATGAATCCTGTTTTACAAGAATAATAGATATTTATATGCACTTTTTTTTCTCCTCTTGTGTTTGATTAAGTGATGCAGGAAAAGGGGGGATGGGATTCTCTAATCAATAAGCATCTTTTTACTCGATGATCTTGGTAACAACACCAGTACCAACGGTCTTGCCACCTTCACGAACAGTGAAACGTTGACCTTCCTCAAGAGCAACGTCGTGGATAAGCTCGCATTGAAGCTCGACATTGTCACCAGGCATGATGAGCTTGTCATCAGGGTCCTCGGTACCTTCGGGGTGGGTCAAGCTGACAGTGACATCGGTGGTGCGAACGAACATTTGGGGGCGGTAGTTGTTGACGAAGGGAGTGTGACGACCACCTTCTTCCTTGGTCAAAATGTAGAATTGAGCCATGAACTTTTTGTGGGACTTGACGGTGCCAGGAGCACAAAGGACTTGACCACGACGGATTTGTTCACGCTTGATACCACGCAACAAGGCACCCATGTTATCACCAGCCTCACCACGATCCAATTCCTTACGGAACATTTCAATACCAGTCAAGGTGGTCTTGAAAGGAGCGCCCATACCAACAATTTCGATTTCAGAGCCCTTGGTAATGGTACCACGTTCCACACGGCCAGTGGCAACAGTACCACGACCCGAGATGGAGAAGACATCTTCAACAGGCATCAAGAAAGGCTTGTCCAAATCTCTCTCGGGGGTAGGAATGTGATCATCCACAGCAGCCATCAATTCCATAATGGCCTTTTCACCAATCTCGGGATCACGGCCTTCCAAGGCAGCCAAAGCGGAACCCTTGACAATGGGGGTGTTTTCACCATCGAAACCGTATTCACCCAAGAGATCACGCATTTCCATCTCGACAAGTTCAAGCATTTCGGGATCATCGATAGCATCGACCTTGTTGATAAAGACAACCAAGTTTTGGACACCGACTTGGCGAGCCAACAACAAGTGCTCACGAGTTTGAGGCATTTGACCATCAGTGGCAGAGACGACAATGATAGCACCATCCATCTACAATATCATGTCATGATTAGCACAAACATCATCTTACAATGTTATTTATACATACCTGGGCAGCACCAGTAATCATGTTCTTGATATAATCAGCGTGACCAGGACAGTCAACGTGGGCATAGTGGCGGTTGCCAGTCTCGTATTCAACGTGAGCAGTGGAAATGGTGATACCACGAGCCTTCTCCTCAGGAGCCTTATCGATTTGGTTGTAATCCATAAAGGTAGTGTCTCCGTTTTGAGCAGCCAAAGTCTTGGTGATAGCAGCAGTCAAAGTGGTCTTGCCGTGATCAACGTGACCAATGGTACCAATGTTGACGTGGGGCTTGCCACGAGAGAACTTGCCACCAGCTTCAGAGGCCATACCACGACGAGCTATAAACAACACATACATACATGAATATTTTCCCTATCCCATTGATTCATCATCCATTGTTCCCTTCCCCTTTCAAGATATACATACTAAGGAACACCATGCGGGATGGGGCACCATGGTATGCTTCACGAAGAAGGTTGGCAGTCTAATGATTGTGTAAATACAATGATCCTTTCTTTCTTTTATAGATGTATCATAACTTACCAACTTGTTGCCGTGAGAAAGGGCCATACGAGTGGAGGCCAAAGCTAAAAGATCACCCCCAATTCCCGCCATGGATCAATACCGCATGTCAAATGTCAATGCATTCCTTCCTTTTCTTACCACTGCGAGTAGCAGCCGACGAAACACAACGGCGAGCACCAACACGAGTTGCAGGGAGAACGGCCTTATTGACTGCAGACTTCAAAGCAAACATTTTGGAGAGAGAACGGTAAGCTGTCAACAGACTTTTTTTTCCAGCTCCTCTTGATATGTGGGCCTGCTTGACAATGATGACATAGCTGCAAAGTCACACTTGCCTCGGAAGAACCGGAACACGTGCCTTGATTGGCAATCCTACCCCACCTCCACCCTCCTTGAGTGGTAGATATCTATAGTAATGTCTCATACATACCTTGGTCATTGGTTAGCTTCCATCCCACCTTTTGTATCGGAAAAAGGATTTGATCCTATAGACATGTACCTCTCCCTTCTTTTTGTTAGCGTATCCGTTTCAGGTCCCTCCGAATATTTTGAGTCATAATAAAGCTGCAAGTTTATTATAGCCTTGAGCGGTAGAGGCTGACCTTGGATCCACCATAAAGAACAAATGACAATGTTTATTCAAAAGAGCTACTTTTATGCTTGTTGCTAGGTTGTAATGCATAAGAAATAGAATCGCCAATAGTCGGAGCAGTATGTGCAACCTTGCTACTGGAAGAAGGGTATCTTAGTTTCCTCTCTAGTGGTAGGGAGCCAAGTACGCGTCTCTTTCTCTTTTACACATATACCTTCTCAATCATGCTTCGCTCCACCATTCAACGCAGTTTCTTCCATACCAGTGCTTCTCGTTTTATCAAAGCTGGTGACCGTATTCCCAGTGTGGTCGTTCAACGTGGTTCTCCTGCCGATACTGTCAATGTCGGTGAACTCTTTGGCAATGCGAAGAAGGCCATTCTCTTTGGTGTGCCCGGTGCATTTACGCCTGGATGCTCAAAGACCCATTTGCCCGGTTACATTAACGAGGCTGAAACCTTAAAATCCAAGCACGGTGTTGACCTTGTTGCCTGTGTATCTGTGAATGATGCTTTTGTCATGAGCGCTTGGGGTGAGGCTTCTCAAAGCAAGGACAAGGTGGAATTGCTTGCCGATAGCAAAGGTGAACTTGCCAAGGCCATGGAACTTGATTTCGATGCTACTGGTGCCTTGGGTGGTCCTCGTTTCCAACGCTTTGCTGCCATTGTCGAAAATGGTACTGTCAAGGAATTGTTCGTGGAGCCAACCAAGACGGGTCTCGATGTTAGTCTTGTTGAAAATGTAAAGAAGCACTTGTAATATGAAATAAAAAACAAGGGGAGGTGATGATTTATTATGTTGGTCACCTAATTCTACATATACACACTACTACCACTACTCAATATCAATCTTCCAATCATACTCAGCGATCGATACACCAGGATTCTTGATAACAAGTTTGCTCTTGCTTGCCTCATAGTCAAAAGATAGCTCTTGGTTACCTTGGGTCACACGCACAGGTTGCTTGGTAACGCCGAGAATGACAAGACGCTCGAGTCGAAGTTGCGACATGGACTTGGCATATTGTTTCGCTGCAGCCGTCTCAGGATTCTTGTGCACATTCTCACTACGCAATGATCCATTTTCATACTTGAACAAGGTGTAGATATAAGAGCCATCTTGATAATCATAGCTTTCACCATCATCATGATAGAGGAATCCTTGTGCAGTACCCTAATATCAAGTTGCATTAGACTATGTATAACGTCGTGGATCAATAAATTTTTACCTCTTTGGTGAGTGGAACGATCAAGGTGAAGGGATCAAGCTTCATGCTACGAGAACTACGACGAACACGTTCACGTCGAGGAACAATAGAGCCAGCGCGGTAGTAAGCAGGGATCTTTTCAAGAGGTGCTTGAACACTGTGGTATCCAGATTTCTTGATGGGTTCATGCGTTTGCATATCATACCATGGCTATAGCAGTAGTGTTAATAAAGGATCATCAACTCCCTATGTTAAAAAAACCACATACCTGATCTCCAGGGAAGTAGACATTTGTTTCAGTAGCGCCTTCTTGAGTTACAGGCTTGACCATAATACCATCACCCATCATGAATTGATCTTCAGTGGCAAACAAGGCCTCATCCTCAGGGTATTCCATAAACATGGGACGCATCATGGGTGTACCATTGTTGGATGTTTCATAGAACAACGTGTACCAGTAAGGAAGGAGAGCATAACGTTCACGAAGAGCAGCCAATGTCATGGAACGATAAGGTTCAGGCACAAGATAGGGTTCCCGACGCTTGGTGTCAATATGAGCATGGCCACGGAAGAAGGGTTGGAATACACCTGCTTGATACCAGCGTACCAAAAGTTCGACGGGTGGGTTGTTGAAGAAACCAGGGATATCAGCACCTGTAAAAGCAACGCCTCCCAAACCATTGGTAAGCGACATTGGGTTTGAATAGTAGAGTGATTCCCAGTCAGCCATATTGTCGCCCGTCCAAACAGCACCATAGCGCTGAACACCAGCATAGAATCCACGTGTCAATACAAAAGGTCGCTTTGGTTTTTGTGTCCTCTCTCTCACACCATCCGCCGTTGCTGCATGCTACATTATTTGCAAATTAAATTCCTCATCATCCATATCCACAATAATATCCCTTACCGAAAGTAATGCATACATGTTGTGAAGAACACGATGCTCCCAGTTGCCATGGTGAATCATTTCCTTTTGCATGGTGATCTCGGGGCCATTGAACACGGAAGGCTCACTCATGTCATTCCACAAATGGACATTCTCTTGGGTACCAATAAACTTATCGAATCGGAATTGCTCCTTCCACCATTGACGTGCCTCTGGTTTGAAATAGTCGACCCAAGAAGATTGACCAGGCCAACACCATCCTTCGTAATCGCTTCCAGAGGGTTGCTTGACAAAGAGACCATCCTTCTTGGCCTCATCACAAATACGGTAACCATCCGCTCGTTTGATATGAGGATCAATAATCACCACAAGCTAACCATATTGTCACGTTAACTATGATCATTGAGAAAAAAGTAATTTGCTTACCTCTCTTCCCTTGGCATCCAAAGCTTGTTCCATTTTGATAGGTTCAGGGAACTTTGAACTCTCCCAAGTGAAATACTTGCGGTCATCCGTATATTCAATGTCGAGCCAAATGACGTCGTAGGGCATTTCATGTGCATCAAATTGGTCATCGACTTCAAGCACGTCCTTTTGATTGATATAATTCCAGCGGCATTGATGGTATCCAAGGGAGAATTCTTGTGGTAACATGGCTGTGCCTGTGAGTCGGGTGTATTGGCGCATAACATCTTTGATAGAAGGGCCGAGGAACACAAAGACATCCAATACACCAGCTTCAGAGATCCAATGGGTCTGAGTGGATGTTCCTCCAGTGGTCGACTTTCCAAGGCTAAGAATCTTTTGCATCGAGCTCTATATGTACATACTTTGTGAGCTTACATGTTGTTAGTTACAAGGATCCAACTCATTCACTTACGCGAGATTCAGATTTCTTCTTGACAATATCAATCCATGTCTCGGAAGGATTCATCCAGAATACACCACAAGATGCACCTGCACGATGCGCAATCATAAAAGGAACCGCGCCATAAAGCGATGTTGGGCTATCCAGTGCGTACTCGAACACATCGGTGTTGTAGAGTCGATAGGGATCCGTATAAGCATTATCACCGCCACTACAATAGACAAGGATTAATCATCCATGTACGTAGCGTGATATCCTTTACTACAATACGTACCGAGTTTCCTTCAGTGAGAGGCTGGATGCATGTTCCTAAATAACATCTTCAATGTTAGATCCAGACAAGGCATAAATCCATTGTCATGCTTACCGGAATACCATAGACATGGGCAAAGTCGTGGAATGTAATATCCATGGCAATACTTTCAGGGCCTAGCGAGATCAAAGTTAGCATATACAAGTAATAAACAACTCCATTTCTTTATCTACCTACCATTAGGTTTTGGATCAGTCCAGGACTTGAATGTTTCTTCCCAAAGATCTGATTCCCAAGGAGCTTCCACTTGTTCCACTTCGCCATTGTCCTTTTTCTTTTCAATCATTGTTGGCTTGTGTGTATCCTTTGTGCGCAAATGCTCGAATCGGAATAATCCACGATCATTGAGAGAGATCACAGGTGCATCATTGACAAAGAAATCCAATCGTACAGGGTGAGGATGAAGTACGATTTTGCGTTGATCATCCAATACCACGGTGACGACGCCTTCATCATCGGTTGTGATACGCTTGGCATGAGCCGAGTTGACGCCGTTGACAAGTGTATGCTGAACATGTCCATCGTAGCGGGGTTTGATAGGCTGCTTCTCATTGATTCGAATGCGTGAAGTGTTATCCTCAAGGACATGCAAGTCGAGTGTGAAGAGGATGTCGTTTTCAGTGTTGATAATGTCGGCATAAACGTGGGAATCATCCTCATCCAGCCGAATGGTATCCTTGACGAGTGCAAAAGGGGACTCGAAACCAGGTGTATCCGTTGCCATATCTGCATAGGCGCGATTACGACGACAGAATCCAGATTGGGAGCATGTCTTGAAATCCTCCTTCTTCATGCAAGATGCTATCAAAGCAAAGAGCGTAATGCCAACAAGTAACGTGAGATGCGGTCTCCTAAACGGCCATTGCTTCATACGCCACACCATGGTGACAACACTGCTGCTGTATAGAATTCCAAAAGCACAAGAGACGTTTCCAGATGCGTGCGCGTGCAGGACTTTGAAATCTCCTCCCGCTGCCCTGCTCCTCCTCCTCCTCCTCCCTCTCTTTCCTTCTGCCGACGATGGATTCTCAGCTACAAACTAAATCAGGTACCCCACATCTATTATGAAAAAGTGATCCTCCATTCTATGTCGAGATGCATTGTAGTTACCATAGACACCATGGCTATAAAGGTTACACAATCAGATAAAACTAGTCTCTTTATGACCATTTGAATAACAACAACAACAACAATGATGGCATCATAAATGACGCGAGTGGATGACGCATAAAAGCCATATGCCGTGCTTGCATTGATGGATTTGATGCATGGGTGTCGTGTTCTAGATTGATTGACATGGTTTATTGTTTGATTAAGGACTATGTTATGTATGGGTGATTGTTGCCAGGCAACAGCAGCAGCACTTGTCGTTGTTGCATGAAATGATGTGTGAAAATATATGCGATATGGTGCGGATATCAATGAGATCAAATGACTCTCGAATGACAATGAATCATCATTGAGCAGGTATCATGTCATGGCACAGCAGCCGGTGACTGCCCCACATGAAACAAGTGATTCCCTATGTGTGAGAGCAAAGAATCCCCATTCAAACTGACCCTTTTCTTTCCACGCTCGTTATTTCTATTATGGCTTCCACGTCGGCAACATTATCTTTTGAAAAGAATGCCATGTTCATTGTTGCAAACAAATTATTGCAGCAGCTGATTGATTTGCTGGATAGCTTGCCGCCAAGCAGTGACGATGACGACCAGGTGTATACTAAACCCTCCATAGTAATGCCTGGTGGAACGATCGGCAAACACAGCAGGTGCGTGGGGGTGTACATGTACGAAAGACTATACTAAAAGCGTCTTTATAACCCGCATTATTATACCGCTCGCATGTATACTTAGGCATATATACGATCATTTTCACTTGCTCCTCTTGCATAACCCAAAGTTGGGGTCCGATCCAACAAACAACAACAGCCGGTGGATTGTGGATTTTGATGATCGAAGCCGAGATGTGAGTAGGAGTGTAGTGTTGTAGACATCAGCAGTCTGGTCTTTAACAGGCCTGATCCCATTTGCATATAGCGACCCATGGAAGTGCAGCATGAAAATGCAGTTCGCTCCTTGAAAGAGATGCAGCAAAAACTCCACCAAGCACAAGAAAAGATTCCCTTGGATACACCCTTACTCTTGGTTGCCACGATTGATGATAATGACAAAATACCCAAATACCATATGGAGTCATCATTCGAGAGGGAATTATGGTATTGTTGCATGCATGCCGTAAGTACATGAGGTCTTGTGTGTAGTCTAGTAACGTAACAAACGTACAACGAGAAAAGCGCCTATACTAAAATAACGTAATGCAGATCCACCATTACGCTTCCATCAAAGCCATTTGCATCGAACACAACGTCCCTGTATCCAAAGAGTTTGGCGTAGCTCCATCCACCACGTTATATCATCATCAACATCAAAAAATGACGGGTCACCTTTAATCGACGTAATCATGCACCCTACTATGAGAAAAGAAGAAATGGAATGACATGCAGCAGCAGCAACAGGATACCTTGTAATAAAAAGCGTAGCACCCGGGTTTTCTAAGGCGTCATGCTTCGCATAAAAGAGCGGCGTTGGGGAACGTAATTGGGGGGAAGGG